AACACTAAAGCTTACAAGCAAAGGGCCATTCAGCCATTCACATCATATCACACATATCTAATTCTGAATTATAACCTCACTTCAGACCTACATACATTCTCTGTCCCTACTACCAGAATCATATATTTGCTTCAGTAGCATTCAATGAGTTAAGAACGTTTACTTCTAGTCTACATATTATTCTTTCCTCACATTCCATTCTCTCACAAACCTCCCTATCTATAGCACCCCACTTCAAAGTCCCTGACCATCCCTGCCCACTTGTCACACCTGCCCGTCCCCCAGACCCTTCGCCCCAGCACTGTCCCTTCTGTGTCCCTCACCATCGCTGGTCAGTACATCGTGGATGACACCGACTTTGTTGAAGTCGATCTCGGTGATGAGGAGATCATCCAGCAAACCCACTCCTTCCTGAAGGCCTTGCTATCCAGAGTGGCCAGCTTCTTCAGAAGAATCAAGAGTGTGTTTAAGAAGAAGGATGATTAGGCAGTGAACTCGGAACTTATACATACAAAACATTCATGAATCATATTTAGGACTCTTTGAGGCATTTGTTGTGATATTTGGAAATACAAAAAAATGACCTTTATTTGTTTTCGTGTTTTCTTTACGTAAATAAAATGCGATATTTATTCCAAAATCGTGTTGCGTTTTTATTTGTTCGTGTTTTATAGCAATATTCTGGACTAACGAACTGGTGATCTAACATGGAGTTTCTGAGCAGCTGCTACACCGGTGTGAGACACGCAGGTGCACCATGTAAACAGGTGTTGGATCGGGCTCAACGAACCTTACTCTGGAATGCCATAAGGATTCCAAACATATCATCCATATTCTGTATAGTTTTCGTGAACATTCCTCATAGAAGACTTAATTAGGATAATAGACATATAAAACTCACCGTGATATTGCTGGGATATTGATAAAGCGGCGAAACCCATACTCACTAGTCAGCGTGTGAATTGTAAACCCAACGTTGAACAGTATTTCTGTGGCGGGAAAACTCTGAATTGATACAGATCTTACACATCAATCTTCGAAACGTTATGGTGCTAAAAGACCGAGAGTTTGTGAATCCGGGATTGAATTTTCCGATCATAGGTTTCTGGCATTCCTAAGAGACGCAGCTCTTCATAGGGTATAGACGACTCAGACCACACAAACTTCACGTGGGGTTAATTATGTGATATATCCTGACTACCAAGAATGCTTCGTCTTGTTCACATGTATCATATGATATATATCTGTCCACACTTTTTAATAGACGACAAACGAAAAGCTTATGATTTTAGTCTGATATAAAACAACACCCACTCGCATCACTGCTGATGCCCGAAGGTGACTTACGGTAACAGGGTTTGCAAACTGAGTCATCAAAGTAAGGCTATTCAAAATGACAACCTCATAATCATATGTACCTTGGAAATCTTTGACGAAGTCAGTATATACAATCATACGCACAAACAACTACGTCTGTGAGCCCTAACCTAATTGACCGCCTCCGTGGTGTAGTGGTTAGAGCGTCCGCCCGGAGAGCGGAAAGTCGCGGGTTCGATCCCCGACTGCGTCATACCAAAAGACGTTAAAATATGGTACTTGTTGGTCCCTGCCTGGCGCTCGGCATTAATGGGTACAACAAGGACTGGACGGCTCGGAGTCAGTATAATGTGTCTGAGTGGGGTATTCATGCTTCACTGCGGCATGGTATCACAGTGGGCTAGCACTATAAAACCAGCTTCAGTCTGGGCTAGTACAAGCAGCCGCACATACACATACACACGCATGCACGTCGTCATATGAGCGAAATATTCTCAAGCACGACGTTAAACCCAATTCCACCACCACAACCTAACCTAATTATGAAGTCACCTCTTGTTGTTTAACGCCACATTCAGCAAATATTTTAGCTATGTTTTCTGCAAAATATCATATCCGGAGCAGAATATTCAGTGATAGACAGCATGAACATCGCAAGTGTCGAGGTAGGAAGACACGTACACAAAGTCAGCAAGCCTGACAATCGCCATTTACAACAAACATAAGTTGCTGCTGACCTGTATTCAAACCCGGAGTCCCAACGGGTCAGAGTGTTATTGCACAGTGGAGTCCATATGCAGTGGTACTTGACGTAAAAGAAAACGTATAAATAAATAATAAATACATTAATAACAGAAAATGTTCATAAAATCACAAACAGTGAATGATACTGCTGATCATGATGAGCGTAAATCTTGGATTAGAAAACATTACCCCCGGTTCCAGGCAGGTAAAGGGCATACCTCCAGGCAGTTGGTTGTTCGCGATTGTACCTCCAGAACGATTTTGAAAGGCACCAATAACTTCATTTCTGTTTAGGGTTTCCTACCTACATCTGACACACAGTTTGAAAACCAGTTTCATTTCCCTTGCTGTTGAGCTACCATCTTATACATGGCCGCCGTGCAGCGTAAAATGTCTCTAACAACTTAAAATAACATAGAAGCGTTTCGATCTGTAATATGACACATACATTCATTACGAGGGAATGTTTTTAAAATCAGAAACATTAACACACATTCCCATCTGAAATATCAGCTGTGAAAGTCGAAATAATGGATATGGGAAACAGGAAATGTATTATCATGTCTCGAGCCATTTTTACTTCGGATATCCTGAAGGGTTTTTTCTGATTCGATTTCACTCTCACCTTATTATATGGGTATTTATATTGCGCTATAGTCCATCCCACGTGCATGCTCAAAGCGTTTCTTTGTTTTTCCCTCGATCATTGGATGTCAATCTCAGCGGCACATCATATTATCAACTCCCTGGGGATCATACAACTCTTGCTGCCACTAGGCGCACCGAGTTAATGTGACTTTCCCATCCTTTCGAGGTACCCATTCACAGCCGGGTGGACTGGGACACATAGTCACAGTACTTTGTCCAAGTTTACTGCACGTTGCTGTACACGAAACAAGGTGTTTGCACGTATTCATGTGGCTACCATCTGGTAATTTACCAATGGATTCGTGGGTTATTTTACGTGCACAGGGTTGTGTACTGTACACTAGGGGTTGTGACAACACTGAAAGAGTCTGCACATAATGTTGACTCCAAGGTTTTTTACACCCGGTCACAGATGGGCTCGATCCCGGCACCTCCAAGCTCGCTGGATCACTAGCCTGGCGCTTTAGACAGCTCGCCCACCGTTGCCCCCGATTTACATTTAATTTCCAGAATTTGCCAAATCTGTTTTCTCTTGGAATATTGTAATATCATGTGAAGAACATCTAAATCTGGATGATGAAACGAGGAATTTTATTATTATCGTGGAGGTATTGCTCTGTATTTAAGACATATTTAAAAGTACTGTTAAAAGTGGAATTGGGGGGACTGTATTAAAGATGAATTCCAGGTCTGAATGTAAATATCTTTTAATCTTTGAGATAAAGCATTATAAAATGACTTTGGGCAGGTAATGTTTTGTGACAGAAATACATCACTAAAACCTGTGACCACAATGATTTTGTAAATTTCTAACATTCGTTACCCAATTTGATTGTCCGTTTGTGTCAAACAAACACATCATGTTATAATATTTCTTGGGAAATCTTGACACAGGCATATACAAGAGCTTTACCCAGTATTTGATAACTCTGATTATTCTTCCAATTCTATTATACATTTACAGTAACCTGCTGATACATATTACCTTAACAACTCGGGCATAACCAAAATCAAGTTGTGATTAACTTACGAGCGTGGAACAGAGAGAGCTCCTCGAACTGGCTATCACTGTGAGGAGCTTGCTTTACTTTACAGGGGAAGTAACTCTCATCGTCATTTTCCGATGCAGACGATTATAATGGACTCAAAAACGAACATACCATACGTCTGTGACGCAAGTCATCGGGCGTGATAGAGATTAGATTGTTGTTAGTTGTATTCTGTAGATTATCACCTGCAAATTAAAATACTATTGTAATGTATGTTCATTTTACGAGAGAAATTATGGCCCTTTTTACCCATTTACTCAGAAGCGATATTTGACCTCAGGAGGATGTAAACAACTTGGCAACTTCTCTTTATCGTCCTCGTCTGCGAATTTGTTATTGTGCTTGTATAAAGTCGTCTGCCATCTACTTTAGACTCATAATGTTACATGGGTTTCTGTGATATGTTAAGAGTAGTAGCCCAAGTAAATGTTTAACTGATGAGTTCGTCCTGCTTTGATTTTCAGGTTTTGATGACGCAGACACTCAAGATAGATGAAGTCGAACAGTTAATACCATAACTGATGAAGATGCCTCGCTACCTTGGCATAAACTATTGGCAGAGTGTAAGGAAATGTGTTTAGTCATGTAGAAAAAACTGAAACCTCCAGCATAAAATTGTTTATATATCCTCGAGTCATCTGTTTTCATCAACATCAATGAAGGCTACGTTGCATTGTTTGAAACTATATGTTATTGCATGAAAAAAGCATTTGCATTAACAATTACATTATTATCTTGGCATCAATGGAATACATGATTATTTTGATCAATGTATCAGGAGTAAAATTTGTGTGTAATTTGACATAAACATGCATATACAAAAGCCAATATATGGACTTAATTTATTATTAAAGTTCACAATGCAGGTATTGCTTGTATAAAAATAACAGTATTTGGTACCTCTTTGCTCAAGCTGTCACTCTATGGTTTGCCTGACCTAACCTAGACAATTCTGCCAGTGTGATATGGCTGGAATATTACTGAATGTTGTGTAGAACAATATTTCTTCACTCACCTTTTATATACTTTATGTAATTAACTATTTATCTAGTTTTATGTAACCTCATTTACAGACCCTCAAGCAGATGTTAAATCAAACATTGATGTTTTTTTAATACTTGAGTGTTCCCTAATTGAATTAAGTTCAAAGTCAACTTTATTTCAGGGAAAATAGGTTTGCCTAACTTCTTACAACACTTTTATCGAGACTTCATCACACTTCATCACTTACAGATGATAGAACAAAGACGAGAATTCTATTCTCGTGCACTGCTGCTAGTTCCACACCATCTGCATCAAGAGGATTCTGCCAAAGGATTCAAATCAGATCAGCAAGTATTAAATGAAGATCAATGGAAGATCTGCAGGGATACTGGTAACAATGAAATCTGTACATCTTTAAGCATTAGAAACTACAAGAACGAATGTATTGTAACATTTAGTGATTTAATGATGTATGTATATATTACAATATATTGAATAAGGATTCAACCATAAACAAATTTTAAGTTTTTAAGTAAGTTTTTTTCTGAAAACATCTGAATAAATAAGTGTATCTTTGTACTTGTGTCTCTCTGAAAAACATATTTGCTAACTATTTTCTTGAACTGCTATACAGGCCCTTTTGAAGACATCATTGTTACAGAAAGACTTGATATACTTAGACAGCTTAAAGAAGTCAATGGGAGTATTTCAGAAGCTGATGGAATGATTCCAGAAATGTATGACAGGTAAGTGAAGAAAAGAACTTTATGTTTTTTATTGTTACTGCCACCACCTGGGATTTGTCAGATACGATTTTGTAGAAATCATTTCTTGTTACATAAAATCAGATGTTCATAGTGGCCAGTGGGGTAGCTTAGTGATTTAAACATCTGCTTGTCATGCCAAAGAACCAGGTTCTAACCCTGCCCGTGATATAGCTGGTATATTGCTAAAAGTGGTGTAAAACCAGATGTACCTACTGCAGTTTTTTTATAATAGACCTTTCAGATTGTAGATTGAGATAGAATGTGTTTCAACTATGGAACAAATATATTCTTTACAATTACATTGTGTATCTGCCAGGAGAACAGAGATCCATTTGACTGATGACCATGTGGCTGAGATTGTCCCCAGCTCCAACCCTGAATCAATAGACAGCTTCCTCTCAGATGAACTTTTTTGAACCCTTTGACACATTTGATGATACAAAGGAAGCCTTTGAGAAGGAAGATTTATCTGAATATGGAGATGAAAAAGAGAAAGGTAAGTCATTAGTGATTTAACACGTTTACAGCCTATCATGAGTATACTCGTAGTATCAATTCTGGCCGAATTTGCTACTACGAGTTATCTCGTAGTGGCAAAATGGTATTTTGAAACAAGTTCCACATGTTGGCAAAATAGGCACAAGAAACAAACATTTGCTTCTTGTGCCTGTTTTGCCAACATGTGAAACCTGTTTCAAAATATCGGGCCCGACATTGATACTACGAGTATACTCGGGTGGCAGTCAACATGTTAGTAATCATTGAACATATTCACAGAAACATGGAAATGCCAGAGTATTCTCCAGTTTGAAGAATGCTTTGAAAAGATTGTGACTGGACTAATTCTGATATTTGTATGTTTATTTGCCTTTGTATGTGGATTATCACAAGCTTAATTACAAACCATAAGAAAGAATTACTAGATGCAGGCTTTGTATTGGACAAGTGACTGAAGATACAGTTTATGTACATATTCGATACTCAGTTATTAGTTGTATTAAATAGAATAGATCACAACATGGATGTTTGATAATAAGGAGTCAGTTAGTCTGAGAACAGTATTAGACATCTATTTATATTGTCACTAGTCTGAAAAATGATGAGAAAATGGAAGTCCACAAGGAAATCTCACTGATCCCAGCTGAATTTTACTTGTCTGAGACTGGCAGACTTCTGTTATTCCCAAACTGAGATATAATGGCCTCAAGAGATGTTCAGAAATATTTGCATGTATGAAGCCATGTTAAGGTCATGACATGTTGTGTTCAAATTTCTGATAAATTTGAAGATGTCCTGTCATTTCAGACAAACTTGAGGATGTACTTTTGTCAGATGGACTTAAGGACGCATGCAGCAATTTTCCCAAGCTGTCTACTCTCATCCATTGTCTACAGTCAAGATCAGTGAAAGATCCACTGGCTGATGAAGATGGCACAACATATTCTGAAGTTCTTATTTTTAAGTAAGTTACCACTCAAAACAAACAGAAGAAGATTTAGCTATAAATCTCTTGATACTTTTATTATAATTCAGCAAGGTGTGGACGTTTAACATATACATTGTACTTGGTCAAAGCATTTTTCAGTTCACTCACAATACAGTGTTTCAACAGATAAAAATAGATAGAATTATAAGTATCTTCATTTTGTATTTGGTTTATAGCTATTGGCTGCACTAAATTAACCATCAAATAAAAAAATGATAAGATTATGGTTAGACCTGTTTCCTGATGAAGAGACTCTTCATGATGAAACCATAATGCCCCAACCTTTAGATATCAGTACATTAGCACTTCTTCAGGGTTGCAGCAATGTCAGCTCATGCAGCAGGTTGATCTAAAACATCTCTATCCCAATGTGAATTCTCTAGTTCATTGTTTAGTGATAAAGGTATCATTGATATGATGTGAAAACAAGGCCTCCTCTGATTGTTTGTTGAATTAAATGTTCCACAAAGTATAAGTTTCTTCCCTAGAATGCAATAATACCACTGCTTTGTTTGGCTATTTATTTTGTTTGTTGTTTAACCTGACAATATTTCAGCCATATTGTCTGTAAATATTGGAGTTTTGACCAGACAATCCAGACATCATGAGCATCAGTTCTGCACAAATGGGATATGACATGCATCATCCAAGACAGTCAGCCTGACCACCCAATCCTGTTAGTTGCCTCTTATGACAAGCAAAGGTTGCTGAAGCCCAATTCTAACACGGATCTTCACAGGTGGTAATACTGCTGCAGCAGCATGCTCTTAAGAATACTCTTGCTTCCTGCAGGGAGGATAGTGTGAGTGTCAGATGTTCCTCTGCTTCTTAAAACTTTCTTGATATACTTGCATATTCATCTATTCAGAGAACATTTCAAGATGGAAGGAGAGGAGGCTAGTGTTCGACAGTCAACTGAGGAAATAACCACCCACCTGGAAGCATTTGAAAAATGCACATTTTCTGATCATAAAGTAAGAATGCGTAGTGTAGAGTGTAAAAGAATGATTTATTTATATACAATTCTGATAGATTAATGTAGTTAAGGACCACTAGTCTGTGCCCTGTTTATGATAGACAAGGATTTAACACGAATTTTGAACAAAGTGCCCTTGGCAGAAAAATGTTCTTTCAAAGTTAGATTTTTTATTATCCTTATTTTTGTATAGTCAGGGGTATTTAAGTACTTCATTAAAGGCAAATATGTGAACTAAACAATACCGCCTCTGAATGTATTTTCTTCCACATATCAGTGAAATACAATACAGGTGGTACATAACATAGTAGTTTTATGATCATTCATTCAATTTGGAAGATTTTACTTCTGACGTTTGCTTCAGAGATGGGCCAAATCCCAGCCTCTGAGCAGGTCCAGGAAAATCATGGAATAACTCATGTCAGGAATGGCCATGTATCTACAAAGGGCATAATTCTTTAGCAATGACTTACTATTCTGTAAATTTGTTGATCCTGATGAATATACTTAGAACAGTATCATCAATACTAACAGTTTCATTGAATTACATGTATACAAACAATATAATGTTTCAACATATTTTCATCGCTGTGGTAGTGTATTCAGTTTCAAAGAGAGTGGCTATATCAGTATATGGACCTAAGATTTTGCACTAAGCAAAAATAAATCCATTCAGAAAGTACTACAGTTTATACTGATTTAAATAGTCTTGAGGACCAATCATTTGATATTGTTTGCTGAACATCCTTGATATCAGAAAAGTGTATGTTGTGAAGTTGTTTTTAATTGTTAAGATCCTCGTTTCATCCAAATAAGTTATGTTTTAAGCAGTGACTGAAAATGTATTCCCACTGACCAACATCCTAGCTGTTCTACTCCATGAATATTGTGTGGTCCCTTGATGTTACCAGGCAGGGGAACTGGAAGATGTGATACTGCCTCCCTGCAAAAAGGGAGAGGAAGACAGAGTGAACGGCATGCTTGACATTCACTCTCATGTGAAGGCATGTGTTAGCAGTGAAGCTGAGGAACAGCGTGAAGACAAGCATGGTAACTATCAGTACATAAATATCACTCCATATATGTGGTAAAGGTTTGGTGCTGAGGTTAGTAGGCTGTGTAGACTGTACGCACTATTACTAAGTTTATATTAACACTTTTAAGTCAGTGTTGGATATGACACAAGATACTTGGCTCTGGCTATTTTCAGTCCTGCCAAGTTTGTTTCATGTGGAGACCATATATTGGAATATGCTGTGTTGCAGGTCTATGAAAATCCAATTTGAAGTTTATGATATATTCGTTCAGTTGTTGACCTAATTTAGAGAGACAATGTTTCAAAAACATTGCACATATATACAGCGTGAACTGGACTGGCCCTGACCCTGGACACCAAAGCCCACCAAAGCAAAAAAAGGGTCCAGTAATATGTTCATGTTCTCCACCCACATCATTTGCACATACACAATAAAATGGACATGCACACATGATTGGGCCTTTTGGTCACTTTCACTTATAATCCCAAAATTTTATTTTTACAGATGATTGGCATTTAGTTCCTGATTCATTTATTTCTGCTGCTGGAGTTGAGGAACCTGAAATTACAGGCATTTCTTCCCCAAGTGGTGTAGACTTTCTCACTCTCAATGATCCAGGTGAGATGTGCAAAACAAATTGTACTAAGGTCACATAGTGACAAAATATCCCAAATGTAGCAGGGTAGAGAGGGAAAGAAACCTTTCCAAATTTCCCACTAGACCACAGGACCACTGTGTGGACAATAATTACTGGTCCTGTCTGTACTTCACCGGTCCAAAATAACATTTGTAGATTTGGGGAAAAAATTCACTGCCCACCAGGACCACTGCAAACTTATCATTTAGTGGTCTTGACGAATTTTTACTAGCCTGGGACCACAAGACCAGCATAAATTTCGCACACTGGGCAGAGTTGCATCCCTTTGTTATGGCAACATTCACTGATCACGGGTTTGAATCCCAGATTTACCCTGATAATGATACTTGTTTTGTCAGGCTTGCAGGTTTCACAAAGAGTTAAAGGTCTAAGATCTGCATCATTTGGGGTGTTTGTCCAAATTGTTAAGCTTGTATGACATGGTACCATGACAAAAAACTCACCTAAATGTTACTCTTTATGTAGCTGAAGGTGAGGGGAAATACCCCACTCAGACACTTTATACTGACTCCGAGCCGACCAGTCCTTGTTGTACCCATTAATGTCAAGCGCCAGGCAGGGACCAACAAGTACCATATTTTAACATCTTTTGGTATGACATGGCCAGGGCCCGAACCCGCGACCTTCCACTCTCCGGGCGGACGCTCTAACCACTACACCATGGAGACGGTCTATGTAGTTGAAGATACCATAAAGTATTATGTATTCCCATTTCAGTATCTTTGCCATGTGGTACCAAAATGATTGTCTCACAGAAAAGGAAATGAAAACATTTACATACTATTATATCTCTGCATTCCTACTTTTAAAAGATTTCACTTTTCAGTAATAGTTTGAGTAATTTATCTTTGTCTGCTGTTTTAAGGAGTTTGATAAAGTTAAAACATATATATCATCAACATATCTCTGAATAAGCTGTTGAAAGTAAGGATGGCAAGCTGGAGAGGAAAGCCCTGCTGGAATCCCCCATACTTCCATGCAAGTCACCAGAGATACATGCCTGGAACCTTGCAAACCAACTCCAGGAACTCAAGCCGGCATCACCTGGCATCAACACAACTCAGTTTGTATACCAATCATACAGAGCAAGGGAGACAATCCTAGTATACTTTTTCCGGTCCTCCTTGGTTTGTCTTTTTCTAGTCATTATTTTGTATTGTTTTCACTGCATTTTTAAATAATGCATTAATGAATATGGTAACGTGAATGTTTGACAGTAGGAGTGACATAAAAAGTTCCTTGTTACAACCCTTATTATATATCATAAGTCAAATAACACTTAGCCTCAAGGACTTTGCTTAATTTCTCAACACTATTATTATATTTGAGATGGGACCTTTAATATGATTGTTAACATAATACTTACACTGCTTTTGTGAATTCAATTCTGTTTACTCTAGAGCATTCCTGCGTCAGTTTGAAAAAGAAGCCATCCTAACTAAGGTGTGGGAACATGAAAAATTCTTTGATGAAGTCCTAGCCTTGCGACTCCCTGGTATGTATTAAATTCTCAAACTTATGGTTAAAGTGTTGATAGATTAGGGCAGATTTATACAGGAGAGTAGGAAAGTCAGTATCAGAAACTTTTTGTTTTGCGGTTAACATTGAGTGAGTGAGTGAGTTTAGTTTTACGCCACTTTTAGCAATATTCCAGCAATATCACAGTTATTGAGGTTATGGAGGTATTGGTTTTAGGGTGTATCATTTTTTTACGATTACAAAAAATATATTCTGAAACACTGCGAAAACACATATTTTGTTATTTGTAATGATCTGGTAAAATTACTGCAAAATCAAATTGAGTTGTTCTGGGTATTTGGGCATGACATAATCAAAACACAACAGTATTGTCAAACTCATTCTTTCAAATTTTCATTGTGTGGTCTGTATAAGTTTCCAAAAAGGTCCAGGTTTATTTAATATTCAGAAACTTCGACTTCAAACAAGTCTTCACTGATCTATTTTCAGAACCTGTTGTAGCAGAGGAACATTTCCCTGATCATACTTCTATCCCAGACCTTGTGAGGAAGCTTCAGCTTGTGGAGGAGTCTGGCCTGGGCAGTGTGGAGCTGCAGCTGCGATGGGATCCGTGGTTGTCCTGCAGGGCTCTCATGACCAGGGTGATTCAGGTGGAACAGGCAGACTTCGGGGGTGGCACTAAAGCAACATCAGTGCTTAATGTGGATGAAGTATTTGTCAAGTCCACCCTAAATGAATTGTATGGTAAATAGTTGTAAAATATATTCTTTCTGAAAAATAACAATGTTATGTTTTTGTGTTCTATATTTTTGAAAATTTCTTGATTTGAGTCATCAGAATTATACCTTGTCAGAATGCTAAAAATATTATATGCTCTTTGCAGAGGTGTGTTAACACACTTTCTCAATACATGTATTTTATCAGTGTTGTTTAGTGTTTTATCCATGACAAGCTTGACAGTTTTTAAATTCTCCTTATTTGTAGTTCTATCTTTGAGACACCAGCACTAAATTAGTCAAATTACAAGTTACGCAGTTTAGCAGGTTTTATTGAGTTAGCTGAGATAATTATATGTGTTATGCATAAATTTCTACATATCACAGTTTATTCAACCCAGCCAAAACATTTCCTGTCACCTTTTAACAAAGATTCATTTTTCTCATATGTTCAAATGTATTAGTGGAAAAGGAGAACCAGCCCCTGACCACCAGCCTGAGTCATAATGTCCACAGTGAAAGGTCATTTTAGGTGGTATTCCTATATTTTATACCTTTTTCAGGCTATGTCTGTTTCAGGTTGAGTTCCATCACTGTGTATCTATAGTACTAAAAAAAAGTACTAATGTATTCGTATGTTAACATGTTTGTTATCAGCAAAATGTTTGTTGTGTTATTGCTAGTAGATGTAGACAATGATGCTGACATACAGACTGTGACTCTCCAAGAAGACACAGGAACAACACATACCCATCACAAAGGTGAGTAAACCTACAAGCATGATAGTTCAGAATTTATTTCTTGAATAGATTCTTCTGAAACATAATAGAAAATACAGAAAACTCCCAAGACAGAATTTTCTAATGGCATTATGGCCATATTCAAACTATTTTTGAACAATTTCATAAAGGGCTTTGTTAGTATTTATGAACATTCTATGTAAAGTTTGGAGATTCATTACAGAGGTTACAACATGTAGGGTACACAAGATGTTGCAGAGAAGGACAACTCTCATGGAGAAAGTGTTTATTAATCCAGTTTTTTTTACCAAGGAATTACATCTGTCCAAAGACATTTTTGTTCAACCAATGACTTGAAAAATATTAACCGGTTTAATTTCAAATCTGGCGACCACCTACTTGTCTAAAGAAGATGTGCAGTGCAAGTTTTAAATACAATATTTTCTTCTTTTTTTTCAAGAATTACAGCAAGTTTCAGATTTGAACTCAGAAACGTTTGTTCAACCAATAACTCGGTTCAAAAACATTGGTCAAAATGTTGTCAAAATTTGGGGACAACCTCATTATCTGAAGGAGAAGTGCGGTGCCAAGTTTGGTCACAATTTTATAATATTTGAAGGAGTTAATTCAATTTACAAATATTGAACTTAAAAAACCCTAAGGGAACTTTTGTTCAATCAATAACTTGAACACATTTGAAAAAATAGTTTTCAAATTTGGGGATTACCCATATATGTAGGAGAGGAGCAATGCAAAGTTGTATTTTGATATTTTTGAATTATTGATAATTATTACAAATTATATCTCTTGAAGTTGGGAGCTGTTGGGGGTTTTAGTGAGCCTTGCTCACATTTTTGGCTTGTTAGTTCATAAAAGAAGTCCCTATCATTATTAAATGTTGCAGAGGGCAAATCTAACATAGACAAGATGGAGGCACCATTAAACACCAGAGCAGATGGAATAAGTCTCAGCAAAGGCAACACACCAACAATAATTGACAAGATTTCAAGATCAGCAATAACAAATGATGGCAGTTTCACTGAGTTTAGTCCACTTGATGAATTTTTGATGATGAGAACTTCAACAATTACAAAACACTTTGGTAAATTTGATGTCACTTACTATTCCACTCTGTTTATTTCTGTATGTATGGTGTTTGTTTTTGTTTTTTGGTGTCACTGAAACAATATTCTAGGTATTGATAGCAGTGTGTAAATAATGAATTCTTGAACAGACAATACAGTGACTGACGTCATGAGCATCAATATTCATAACTGGGATACAGTAACATGCATCAGCCGTATCAGTGATTGCTTTTTAACCTGAATCTACAAGGGGGTCGTGTCAGTCAATTGTGTTGTAAGTACATATTCTGGAGTTTGTTGTGCTTTTAATCAGCGAAAAAAGATGTTCCCATAAACTGGATGATTATAGCAATAACAGTTTTTTTAATGACATAAATGATGAAGTTTAAACAAAGGATGTCGGTTTGTTTCCATTCTAGACAACATGCAGACTAACAAAGCTTCAGTCTCCAAACAGTCAGGTGAACTCGACAAGGAAATAAGACAGAGGGTTGAAACAGTGCCTCAAATGGCTCTTTGCAAAACAGTTGATGTTCAGTTGTCAGGTTTGAGTTTTTACTTTAGTTTGTATGGGTTGTTTTGATAAATTAGGACAGGCAAAGTGGTTTTGTTTTTTTCCTCTGTCCACAATATTTCTTTATTGTATTACAAATGAGTGTTATGAGATCTTGAGCAAACAAACCAAGGGACCATAGTGTGACTTGAATTCATGCTTCACATTGTCACTATCAGGGCTTTTGTAATCCTAGCTCTTTCACTAGTTGAAGTCTGTGTCACCATAGCACAGAGCACTGTAACGGAAGCAAGTATTCCCATGTGATCACCTCTCCAACACTACTGTTGCATCATGAGCCATGGTACATCAGGCAACTAAATGAATAGCACTACTGGCAAACAAGGATAAGTTGGACCAGCGCAGAGAACACATTTACGAGAAGTAGGCGGTGCACAGCAATGAGCAAACCCATTTGGTTTGTGAAAGGTAGAGCAGATGTACGACTCTAGTGCACGTGCATTGCATGACAATGAAATTGATTCCGTGAGTAGCTGCACACGCCTTGCTCATAAGACTCTTACGTCAGTGTAGCAAGTCGCACCACACTTGATCGCGGACAACCTGGGGCCCATTCACTAACAATGGCAAGCGCCAATGGGCAGCATTCATACGTGTTAATACGGGTCAATTGTCAGGTCTGTACTCAACTTATCCTTGTTTGCCAGTAAGGTGATCGTAACACCCATACCTGAACATAGTCTTACAACAGCCTTAGTGCTTCAACCTCTTTTTTATCACTTTATTTCTTTTTGATGGGTACATAATTGTTGCATTTGTGGTACATATAAATATACAAAGTATGGACATGGGAGGTAGATACCTCTATGTTGAAGAAGGACCTAGTCTCTTGTGTTATGAGAATACAAACACCAGGAACCAACAACATCCTGATATGTGAATCCTAGCTAATACAGTTTCATCCACCAGCAGTTGGTTCACTGCCCGTCTATTTTGTCTACCTGATCGGTGTATGTTTCAGGACCACACATGCAGGTGTTTCATGCTTTACATTCCTTTGCTCGCCCATATATGGATGTGTTGAAGCAGGCAGGCGAGATTCCCCACCATGCCTCCTTGTTCAGTCTCAAGCTAGAATTGACTCGCTTCCTGGTGAAGGAGAAGGAGAAGGAACAGCAAGATAGACAAACAGGTATTTAGAAATAAACCATGAGGGAGAGTTTTTTTATTATCAAATAAAACACTGCAGGAATATTATAAGCTATGAGGGGTGGCAACACTGCAGGTAGACCCTGATCTTATTTGAGATAGCGTCATTATTTACAGATGATGACCTCACACTCATTGCAATAAAGAAGTTGACTATCCATAGAAGTTCTAAAATGCCTCTCAAAGAAGTTAGATGATGACCTGTGTAAAACAAATCTGGCATGTAAGATTGTTATCTCCTGAAATTTCTCAAATGTAATTCATGAAGTATTTCAGAAAACAAGAGACACATAAAACCAACAGGTATCTCAATATAACATTCACATGGAAGACAAAGATATATAAATGTTATGTTCACATGAAACAAACCAGTACAACATCTGGACACTATCAGGCATCATGCAAGTCTTTATAACCTTCCTGCCAAGAAAGACCTCTTCATACTACAATTAGCACAGTACTGTAAGCCTTATTTAATCTCTACCTTTATGTAGCATGTGGAACAAGTATCAATGAAGACCAGATTAAGACATGGATTTAACTTCTATTTCTTTCAGACAATGTTTTGTACAGTTGCAAGTATTTTTACCTCAAAATTGATAAATCAATGTTTACACTGAATAGTTGTGTCCATAATTAATCCTGTTCCGATTACAACGAAGACTTGGACAACTGTTTTTCATTGTGTGCGACCAAATCCTTACCACTGAAACTTGACACTTACATTGAACTGTTTAGAGGTAAGATGAATGGAAGGAGGTTCTGTGAAGGCAGGTCCCTCGCCTATTTTCAGACAGTGGTGATGTGTACAAGTCTGCTGTGGTTGTCTATGCTGTAGTTGGAGCTGTAGACCTCCTGATTCACTGCTGCCTTGAGTCTGCCATAAGCCACCTCAGTGCTGTACATGAGAAGTACCACCCAACTCTTGGAGGTAGAGTTCAGACAAGATGAAGTCAACATGCTTGTGTTGTATACTCTATGACGTGGTCATGTTTTTAAAATCTTGAAACTTAACTGTGTAAACGTAAGTTTGAGAAATCATAATATATGACTTAGTCTGAATCATGCTGGAACAGAATATCTTTTTCTTGACTTTGGACTACAGTTGAACCCCGTTTTTCTGCAAATTTTGGTTACACTTGGAAATCGTCCGGATAGCGATGCGTCCGGTTAACTGGATCAAACAGGCAAAACTTATTGACGATGCATATTGACGAAATGTTATATACAGTACAATTACAATGTAGTTAATCCTAATCCTAATTAACATGTTTTTGTTACTGATGAGATGTTGTCACAAGTGACATGCGTCCCTAGTGTTTTGATGGGTAATTAATCAATTCACATCAAACACCTGTCGGGAGCGAATAACAGTGAATAGACTTAGTCATGCGGTAAACATACACATCCACATGCACACAGATCTTTCCATCCGGATAACAGAATCATTTATCAATGGAAATCTATGGGAATGGTTTTAATAATTCTCCGTCCAGGTCAAAAAGCATGGGGTCCAATGAAGCGAGTACAATTACTGAAGGTAAGTTTCGTTTCACCTAAAAATCGTCTGGAAGACGGGGTTTCCGGATAGACGGGGTCTGAGTAAACGGGGTTCGACTGTAGTTGCAAACTCACAGACGAGTGTATTCAGAATAAAATGAGCATACAGGGTCATCGTGTAAAGTACCATCATTTTAAGCAAATACATGTCTTATGATTCAGCTAAACAAAACAGTTGAATTAGAACTAAGTTGTTCTAATTCAACTCAGGACATTCAAACACTTAGTTATTGAATCCTTATACATATTTTGATATATATGAATACATTACACATTTTATGGATATAGATGTTTATTTCATTTTGTCATTGTTCCTCTATATCAAAGTAACAATTCTCTGAGTTGCAGGCTCTTTGGAGAGTATCAGGAAGGAGTTATTTCAGTTCAAGGTTTCATTTGACCAAAACAATGTACTTCATCCCAAAGTGGGCATTCTCTGTAAGAACATTGAGGAGACTGTGAAGAGTTCCCCAGGAAATGGTAAAGGAAACAAGGTGAGGTGGTATCAATGATGTTACCAGTGTTTTGTATAAAATGCCCTTGGGAGCATTTCACAGTGGTGGGGCCAGAAACTCACATTTTGGGGCGTGGGGTGTGTGTCCCATTGTCCTATGTCATCAGTGACACTGAATCAGAATCTTCATGAGGGATAAATTAGTATTGATTCGAAATTGGGTTTCTCAGCAAAGACTGTATGTACATGCACTAATATGTAAATGTTGGCCAATGGGTGGCAGGATTCACCAAAATTCTTTTCTTGAAATATTGTTGAAAATCCTAATGGTGAAGAAAAAGTTTGTGCATGTGTGTATGTGTGTTAGTTGGGGCAAGTAGACGGGTTGGCTGGGGAGGAGGTCTTCACCTGAGGGCCAGTTATGTCTTGAATTACGGTGATAATTCTGCAGTTGTAGACATGTTATGTCTCCAATTTGCAGGTGCTTGTTGTTACAAAGCGTAATCTTCCCAGCCTCATGTGTTACCTAGAGAAGGCGCTTTCTGTGTGTGCAGATATTTGCCCTTGCTTCACAAAGACATTAGAGGAAGACACATTCTTACAGTAAGTAAAATGTAGATACTGTATGACATAAAATGATAATGTACCAATGAATCTAATAGACTATTTCAAACAGTACAATACGCTCAGCTAATTGATGCAAAAGTACTTTCAAACAGCTTTGGTACAGACTCATGAGCCATTACACTGCATCAACTTTTGCAAAGTTGGTGAAAGAATATAAAGCAAGCTTATGGTTAATATTCACCTATTTCATGAAACAAAATTCATACTCATAACTATATGTAATGATGTTGTAAAGTATTTACTTCTTTTCTCCCAAAACCTGAATTACAAATTATAACATATATGAAGATCCAGGGGAGAATTGGTCTTCAGTAATCCATGCTTGTCTTATGAGCCGACTAATGGGACGGGTGGGCAGACTTGCTGACTTGGTTGATGCATGTCATTGTATCCCAGTTGCATAGATCAATTTTCACAATGCCAGTCACTGGATGTCTGGTCCAAACTCAGTGATTTAAAGACCTCTGTAATGTAGGTGGAATACTACTGAGTGTGGCTTTCAACAACCTTCAAATAGTATACATTTTAAACAAGTATTTTATCCCTTCCTATTATACATGAGTGACTTCATATTTTTGTCATACACATATATATTGCTGTTTCAGAGCGGAAAATCATAACTGTGTCATCTTAAATGAATCTGTTTTAAACAAGCATACCAAATGGGACATGTTTGGTCTTGTGATTGAGTTCGAGACAGAAAGTAACTCATCAGCATGTAGGAATTGTCAGGACATTGGTGTCAGCTACCTTGGCTTAAAGGGGGATATGCAGGACATGAAGACTGAAGGTGAGCTGGTGGTCCAGGGTTTGATTTTACACTAATGTGCACATTGACCGATCTTTTCACTGGAGACCACTCCTTGTTAATTTTTGTTGCAGCTGAGTCACTATTTCACTATTGAATTTGATTCTACACTAATGCAGACAGACAGTAACTGATCTTCTCACTTGGCATTATTCGTTCTTCAGCTCTGTTGTGTCCAGTCACCATTTCTCTATTGGGCTTTGATTCTACACTACAGAAAATGAGTGATCTCACTGGGAACTGTTCGGTCTTTAGCCTTGTTGCCAACTTATCATCATTTTAGCCATCAAAACAACAATAAGTAGTTAAAGAAATTGAATACATTTACCAGCATTTACATTAGCCACCTAAACAACAATCATGGAGCATAAGATATATACAGTATTTTCCATTGTTTACTTTTGAAAGGATGTTGTTCTGAAAAGTCTTTTCTTACTGTTTGAACTTTGTAGTTTATTTAAGATCATGTTTCTCTTTGCCTTTTAGAGACGCAGGAAGTACATTCCTTGCAAATGAAGAAATCTGATATCAAAGTGACAGTGATTGGCTCTGTGAACCTTACAAGTCAGAAGAATTTACTTCAGCTTTTAGAATCAAGGTTCAGTGATTGTATATGTATGAGCATTTTTCTAAATTATAGGCGTGATACTGAAAACAAGTAGTATGTTGATTACCTCTTGACCCTTGTTTTTAGAAAACTACTATTCAATATGCTGAGTGTTGTAACTAGTATTAAGCAGGAAGCAAGACAATTGCAAACCCAAGTCAACAGAGTCAAGACAGTTATCACCAGGATTAACACAAGTAACAGACAACATATACTGTTTGACAGAATGAGCTCACATCAACTTTACTATAATGGTATTATAATTAACGAAAAGTATTGTCAGTTATAGCAGAAATATTATGGCCACTTGGACCCCCCTTAATTTCTAACGCTTCTGTTCCACTGCAGACACAACATTGCTGTCATAGAGAGAGAAAACTCGGACAGTGACAGTAGACCCTGTGTGGATGTGATCGTGGATGAGAGACACTGTGTTGTGCTATACTCCCTGATGGACTTCACTGATGAGTGGCAGGTGGAGAAACTGTCCAGGAAGCTGGTAGTTCTCGGCCTACAGTTTACATACTGCTGGGTCATCTTCTACTCCACAGATTCAAAATCAAAAGGGTAACTCTGTCCTCTTTGTACATACATGTGGCAGATCCAACCTCCAGGGTTGGATAGGTTGGTGATATTGAATGCAGAGTTTCTTTAACAGTGCCTCCACATTAGAAAGCAACAAATGAAAAGTGAACTCTAACTGCCCTCATCTCTGTAAAAGATCCAAAGAAACATTTTTATTGGAAATTAGTTCTCTCTTTCTCTTCTTGTTCTGAATGGAAAACAAACTTTTGTTCATCAAATACAATCAAAGGTAAACTATATAAATTAAGAGAGTTGTTCTCGCCCAGAAGACACCTGTAACATGGGGAAAATTTACTCATTTTCAGCTTTGTGTCACAAACGTCTAATGAGGGGATTCCTCTGGCTTTACTGGGTTTTAAACAGGCATCCTGCATGATAAGCAAATTCAAGAAGCATGGGCAACTCCATGACCTTTTTTAATCTGCATGAATTTGTAGTGGAATTTATGCACATTCATGGACCAAACAATCCTTTTGCCTCCAGAAGTGCTATGAATACGCATGAATTTCACTGAAAATACCTGTGGTTTGACTCTAATTTTGTGCTTGTTGTTTCACAGCTACCTGCTGCCAAATGCTGTTGTTGCAAATATCTGTAAGCTTGAGGCAGCGCTGGCAAATCTGAATAGCAACACTGACAGGTTTCAAATCATATACAAAGTAAGCCTTTCAATTTTGTGAAGTCAGCTTTTATCAGTATTACTTGTTAATATCATAAATAAAAAACCAAATACGTGTGCTCGTGGATCAATTCCCATATGAAGCTGACATGCTGTGATATAACTTGAATACTGTTCAATGAGGAGTAAAACCCAGCTCACTCACTCACTTCTAACGGCCTAGTTATTTATCCATCGTCCAGTTATAAGATGAGACTAGTTACAGAGCGTATTATTTAGCTGTCTATGTATAGCATCTAAAGCTGATACATAAAGGAGGTATTGTCAGAGTGGTCTTGGATTTCTCACAGGTACTGATAGCCTACAACCTGATACAGCTGGCAGCTGCAGTGAGATTATGCTGTGACAAGTGTGTTGAGATGTCCACAGTGTGGACTAAACAACAGTGGACAAGGCCCTGGATCTCAGGGGATGCATCAAGGGTCAGTATATACAGTCATCTCTTGTAAGGTACCACAAAAACATTCTGTATTTTGTGTATCACGTTTTATGTTTATACTTTTGTGCAAAACGTACTGAACATACCTGACTTGCTTATTGCTTGTCTTCTTCTTGCGAACATAGTGGAACACGTGTATCTCCCAATTGAAGTTCCCTTCAATTAAAAATCACTAATTAGCACTCACCACGAGTTACCTCCCTTATACAAGCGGAACGCAGAGCGAGCCACCTCAACCCATGTGCCTCACTCTCTCCTTCTTAAGCCCAGTGAGCTGGGCGTGAGAGCACCTGTGTCTCCGACACACTATATCCTTTATTTATATTTAGTTTAGTACCTCTTATATTCATTTATAGAGGTGTAACTAGTATCCTTATTCAACTTGCATTGATTATTAGTCGTGTTTCTGCTGTTTTATTCACGGTTAGCGTGTTTGTTCAACAGTTTCGTTAATGAGAATCTGCACAGGTTGTAAACTCGTTATTCGCTACCGATCCACATTTAAAATGCCCTAGTTGCATTACTCCATGTTCTATTGTTTCTCGTTGTAAATTATGTATTAATTTACCAATTTCTGCCTTTGATAAATATTTATGTTCCGTTTTGAGGCGGAAGGCAGATAAATCTAGGAAACAATCTTCAGTCATGGCTAATAGATCGAGTCAGATATATCCTGGGTTACCTTGAGGGGGATAAGCGTGGGGCGCAGTCCGCTATATCCTAGAAGCGACCTGCATCCCAGGGCGTTCCTTCATCACAGTCTAAGACTAGAAGAGCTTCCACGTCGTCTCAGCGTGCGCTCCGAACCCCAGGTCTACAGCCGTCAAAGGGAAATCCACGAAGGCTACTAAAAACTTTGCTTCTGATATTCAGAATTATGTTTATATGATGATGACATTCCGATTATCATTCCAGATGTACGTCATAAGAAGTGACTAGTATCGGCTACCGTCACTTCAGCGCAGATCAACATGCAACCAGAGATGCCTACGCTGACGCCGGAGATTATAACTGAGGGTCCCGTCACTATCACAGAGAGGACACCCTCAGCGCCAGCGCAGACCATCTCAGGCGACCTGGTCAACCAAATCATGAGACTGATGGAGGACCGTTACGGTTTACAGAGGCCCCAGAGCCACGGGCCCCAGAGCCCAACCCATAATAAGTCATACAGGGCCCCAGAGCCCGCCTTGGCTTCGCGTAGGGCCCCAGAGCCCACAAACGCGCCTCCGCGAAGGGCAACCCAGCCCGTAGCGAACACTTCGCTAAGGAAGTCCCAGGCCGCCTCCGCGAAGGAGCTAGAGCCTCACTAGTTGCGAGGGACATCGCGGAGAAGGAGCACGCTTCGCCGAGCCCACACCCTGTAGAACACAGAGGTCGTTCGCGAAGCAAGCGCTCATATATTGAGGGACATCGCGGAGAAGGAGCGCTTCGCCGAGCCCACACCCTGTAGAACACAGAGGTCGTTCGCGAAGCAAGCGCTCATATATTGATCGGACTCTAGACGCCGGCTAAGGAAGTCCCAGGCGCCTCAGCGAAGAGCTAGAGCCTCACCAGTTGCGAGGGACATCGCGGAGAAGGGCGCGCCGCCGAGCCCACACCCTGTAGAACACAGAGGTGGATTCGCGAAGCAAGCTCATATATTGATCGGACTCTGACTTCGATACTTTCGCCAAAGGTCGCGAAGGCTAAGTGGCTCAAGTCTACTTCACCCAGAAGATCTAGAAGGGATGCCGAGATCTTAGCGAAGTCCCGGCGTTCAGCCGAGGAAGTCTCCTCAAGGTCTCCATATACTAGCCACTTTCGTCATATATAGCCACTTTCGTCAGTCCGTTCAAGACACATCGCATGAGTTGTCTATCAACTGTATGCCATATGCGTCTACAAGCCTCTGCGAAGACAATTGCACAGGCTATTTACAACACAGAGCGTCGGCTGTATTATTTTATCAACAGATGAAGAGCCTAATTAAGGATCTTCAAGCCGACTACCTACATCAAAGGGCATCAGCGGCGTTTAGTAGACCTTCACAGGAATCAACATTTCATTATAGATTGCTAGGTATGCAATCCCGGACTACGATCACGATTATCTACATGCGTGACCATTACGCAGATCTGCAGACAATTCAATAGCGAAATTGAACAGCAGCCTTGTTACAGCGAGTAAAACTCATAATCGTCAACAATTTCCTGAGAAGAAATATGTACAACAAGTTCAGCTTTAACAGTCTACAAGCTGACAACTTGCAAGTTTTATTGAACCTTATATAAGGAAGTCTGAATTATCTTCAAGACTGAAGTTACTTTCACGACAGCCTGGAAAATAACCTACCCAGCATTAATATTACAGGCGAGGTATTTGGCGGAGGTTTCGTGGCGTTTACCATTAACCCTCGAAACCGTGGTCACTTTCGGGTAACCGGGAAGCTCACGGGGAAGACCGGCGATTGTTCTAATATCAGCGTCGGCACTATATTATACAAGGTTCCTTTTCCTGCTACACGGTGACATCACAAGCGGGTACTCTACAGAATCAAAATGCCTTGTTCTGATTGGACCGAGATGGACAACGCCCTCGCGCAGAGGTCGATCATAGTTCACAGTTCAAGACATAGGTTGCAAGTGACAACAATATATCAGTGAGCGAGCAAGCCTCCTTACAGTCCAGCTAATCTGAACCTTCATGATTGGGCTGCCTTCTTGAGTTAGAGACCTCCCCTGTCAAGTAAGGGCGAGGGCACACGGCAGTCAGGGCGTTTTTTACATAAAGTTCAGCGATGGCAGTCACCCTTGGTTGTGCACCTACATCGTCAAAAGGACCCATGGCGAATTTACCTCGACGGACGGGATACAAGTGGATCCAAATCCATAGCGTCTCAGACTACAGTTGAATTCATCATCAAGCTACTAACACAACTAGATGGTTAGTAAACCTACTTAAGTTGGACCTAGAACCTTCGCAAGATCTGCTAATTCTAGGTTTTGATTTATAGCGGTAGCAGAATCGTATAATTGTACCCGGAGGACCATGGATCAAGATCAACAGTCATTTCCACAAGCCTTACTATCTCGCTACCACTACGACAGTGGCAGAGCCTGTTGGGGTTTCGCACTTCAGCTCAAGACATGACAGGCAGAGGCAGACTACAATTACATCCGTTACAAGTCATCATCAATTCGCATCTAGGCGAATCTCTACCGTTCAATTTACGGTTCAGGTCAAACCTCATCTACTATGGTGGACCAAGAGATCGAATGTTTGAATAAGTCTCGTTAATAGAGCTGGAATCGATAACACTTCTCTCGTAGATGTGTCACTACAAGGTTTGGGGAGCCCATCTTGCCAACAGGGCGGCATCAGGGCTATGAGCAATCAAGAGAGCAAATTACACATAAATCTGCTAGAGATGCAAGCAGTAATAAACGCCTTAATGCACTGGAGCAACTTACTACAGTATACCCAGTGGATGATTCACACAGTCAATTCGACAGTGGCGTTTTATGTGAACAAACTAAGCTCAACCAGGTCCCGAACCTATCGACTCTATGTTTTCAATTGTTCGATTTAATCGACAATCTCAACATACATGTCAGAGCATATCACATTCCAGGAGCAAAGAATGTGATAGCAGGCGCTCTCTCTCGGCCACACATACCATCGCCGACAGAATGAATGCTCCATACAGAGATATTCACTCAAATTATCAAGGAAATAGGAACTACACTAATAGACCTATTTGCCACTTTCGATTCAACAAACAACTGACAACATTAAGTATCGCCAGTTCCAGACCCACTAGCATTGGCAACAGAGGCACTAAGCATATCGTGGGAAGGACTCAGCGTGCGGCTTTTCCGCCACCAGCGTTAATCTCACAAGTTTACTCAAAATCAGTCAAGCGCCAGAGCCTCCATCTGAATTTGGTGGTGGCCTACTGACCAGCGAGCGTGGTTTCCAACTCTTATTCAAGAAATCGGACAACCAATACTACATCTTACAGAGTGCTTTCGAATCTGTTAATACATCCGCACACCAAACAAAGCATACGGAAAGCCAGAAATATTCCAACTTCGCGTATGGATTGTATCAAGGCGTGTCTGAATAACAAGTTATTCAGCCAGGCGACAAAAGCAGTCTAGCTTGCCCTGCGTAACTCAACTTGCAACTTATCACGATGACAAATGGCACAGTTTTGTCAATTATGCTGCAAAGGAAGGATTTACAGCTAGATATGCTACTCATCCTCAAGTGGCTGACTACTTATGTTATCTACGTCAGACTAAGATTTTAAAAGGCTCAACTTGTCCACCTATCTTGCAGCAATAGCTCTGTCATAACTGAGAGCGGCGTCAAGTTAACCTAAACCCAGTTACTTTCGCCTTGCTCTGAGCTTTCGATTGGAGGATTAAAGCGGAAGTTTCACGCTCCAACTTGGGATCTGAATATAGTGCTCCAACACCTCACAAGTGAGGTTTATGAACAACGCTTTGATGATATACTTGGACCCCATGATACGATGAATCTATCACGATGGCCAGTAAGAGCACTGAAAATATATCTCCACCGAGCCAAACAGGAGGGAAAAATTCAAGAGATTTATTTCCTCTATCAACAAGCTACGCATGAACTGAAGTCTCGCGTACTACTATCTCCTTTTGGATCAGAACTGTCATACTACGTGCCTACAAGACTGCAGGACTCGACCCTCCAAGAGCTTCTAATCCTCATGATATTAGAGCGCTAACATCTACACTTGCTCTACGACAAGTGCTATTGAAATACCATAATGGAGGGTTAATTCTGGAGATCCGATATGGTGTTTGCCAACCACTATCTGAGAGATATCACCACCGAGGACGTCTCAGGTATCCACCAATTCGGTCCCATGGTCCTCGCACAACAGTTGACAGTTCCTCGGAGAAGATAAGTCAATCTTACAGATTTCTACTTATCTTATAACAGTACTAAATAGCTACATGCTATATATATTTTGCTTAAGTTCTTTTATTATCTTAAGCTCAGTACTATGGTTATTATATCATACAATATATAAGCTAACAACTCTACGGAGTTTGTTATTATATATTTAGCTTAAGTTAATCATATCTTAAGCTCAGTACTATGGTTACATTATAAATGTATTAGCTAACAAACTCTACAGAGTTTGTGCTATTATATATGTAGCTTAAGTTAATTATATCTTAAGCACAGTACTATACTCATATCATAAAAATATATTAGCTAACAAACTCTACAGAGTTTTTGCTATTATATATTTAGCTTAAGAGTTTTGCATTATGGTTTATTATATATGCTAACAAAGTTTATTCATATCTTAAGCTCATAGTACTATGTTTATATCATATAAGTATATTAGCTAACAAACTCTAAAGAGTTTTTGCTATTATATATTTAGCTTAAGTTTCATCATATCTTAAGCATTATGGTTACATTATAAAATGTAATAGCTAACAGACTCTACGGAGTTTTTGGCTATTTAGGTAGCTTAAGTTAATTATATCTTAAGCACAGTACTATACTCATATCATAAAATATATTAGCTAACAAACTCTCGAAGTTTTGCTATTATATATATAGCTTAAGTTTTATTCATATCTTAAGCTTAGTACTATGTTTACTTCATAAAAGTATATTAGCTAATAAACTCTAAGGAGTTTTTGCTATTATATATTTAGCTTAAGTTTAATCATATCTTAAGCTCAGTACTATGTTATATCATAAAAGTATTTTAGCTAACAAACTCTAAGGAGTTTATGCTATCATATTATCAAGCTTAAGTCTATTAGTCTTAAGCATTGTATTAATGTTATATATACTTTTATCATAATAAGTAAATTGTAATAACCTTTATATGGCAGCTGAAAAGTTAGCAGCAGGAATTCATCAGTTCAGTGCCTTTATGCAGTTCCCATAGGGTTATTACAATCATCACAGTTCAAATCACTAATTATTAAAATCCAAAGTATTATATATTCCCACCTCCTTTTCCGTCGGATTCTACAAGCAATAAGCATGAGTCAGGATAAGGAAAAATATGTAATTTTTAGAGTAAAATTGATATTTTATACTTATCCTGACTCATGAGCTCTCCCTCCCATCCTCCCCACATAACACTTTGGATTTCCCTGGAAATTCAAGTGTTGGGCTCAGTATATGAGGAGAGAGTGAGGCACATGGGTTGAGGTGGCGCCCTCGTTCCCGAGCTTGTGTAAGGGAGGTAACTAGTGGTGAGTGCTAATTAGTGATTTTTTAATTGAAGGGAACTTCAATTGGGAGATACACGTGTTCCACTATGTTCGCAAAAAGAAGAAGACAAGCAATAAGCATGAGTCAGGATAAGTATAAAATATCAATTTTACTCTAAAAATTACATTTTTGTTTTGTTTCTGGGTACATATTTTGAGTTTGAATCATTCTGTGAACTGTGTGATTTAAAAGATGAATAACAGAATTTGAGTGCCTTGAGCATTAACTAGTTGTGTGGATATCTGTGCTATATAAATATCCTATAATGAAAAAAAGAAATAATAATTTGAGGTAGTGTTGCCAATCACAAAACATTAAGTTGAAATTGTACTTTCTCATTTTTCTGTTTAGTCAGTTGTATTAAATGTGTAGTTTGTATGTTCATGTGAGTAGACTTAAAGTCCTTGCCTCTAGACACATCCATCCTTTTGTGACAATTCATTACAATGTCCACAAAAACTTGTACATTGTTTCAGGAAGAGAAGTTTCTTACCAGCCTGCAATGTTTGAACTCTTTCAGGTATGTTGGTTTTTCTGTTGTATCTTTAACATAATTAAAAGATTAATATTTAAATAAATATTGAAGTTTCATAGTATGTTATACCAGTGGTATTTATCTATGCAAACAATATTTCTGGTCTTGATTTATCTCAGAGAATTCCTCAAATACAGATCCATTAATGAATTAGTCTGTGTTTCAGTGCCCAGCTGTTGTTGTCCAGGACAAGCCTGGTCTCCCTCCTCTCATGCACACTGCCTCAACTCAGGCAGATAGCTCCTGAACTCCCAGAAAAAGTGCATCTGGTATGGAATAGCTTACATGATGTGTTCAATGGTAAATGAGAATATTTAAACAGTGTGTGTCATTAACTTGCTAGAAATACAAAGAGAAAGCTATATTCTTCTGAAGAGTCTGATAATGTGTTCAAAACGTAACACAACATAATAAGTATGTTAAAAATCTTTTTTTGAAAACCTGAATTTAGGGTTGGAAATGGCTGTCCGAGTGAGTGTCATGCTAACTGAAATAACGAATAGTGGAACCAATACTTCCTGTGAAGTTCTAAATCATCATGATGTTAAACACAAAAAACCTGTAGACAATACCTGTATCATTGCGGCCAGTTTAATATTTTGTAATGGAACATTTTCCAGATGTTTTACAAAATGATCAACTGTGACACTGGATTACACTTGAGATCAGATGACACAGTAAAACTGGATTTGCAACTGATAGCACAGCCAACCTCGGCCCCATATAGGCAAACTGACAATAGCTGCCCTGATTCCATGGCACCTGACCATCTCCATCAGGGTTCAAGAAATGGTTACCAAAGCTTGAAAGAGATTCAGATCCCAAGGTTCTCTGAGGATTTCCTACCAAAGCAGCTGAAATCCAAGGGTTGTTCCACACAATCTGTACCCATATTTCAACAAAATGGTATCTCAGGGGACCCAGATTTCAGTCTGGTAGATGAATACCCAACCCAGTCATTTCTCAGCCAAGATACAAATGAGACCCCTGGAAATTCACAGGGCTACACTAAACCAAATGAATATGTTCTGGCCAAGATTGAAGGTATGACTGAAAATGAAGCAAGGCAGTTTGAAGAAACTGTAACTCCTGATTTTGATCTATTAGGAGATGCGGACGTACAGAGATTAACAGCTAGATCTTCCAAAGAGCTTAATGTTATCAATCAACCAAACCAGCCCGATGTCTTCAGGCCAATGAAGATGCGGTCATCGGCTGACATGTATGTAAATGGAGACCAAGTTGTCCTGTCTGGCTGTACCAGAACAGTAGCAAACAAAAAGCCAAGTTTTAGTTCAGTCTTACGTGAGAAAATGAATTCAAAGAATAGATTCTTGCAGGAGTTCTGTCAGAGTAATCCATTTGATGAAGTTTATCAAAATCAACAACGTCCATCCACCACACTGATCTCTGAGAGCCATGAAAGTGATTACTTTCCAGAAAAATCCATTAGGGAAAGCTATCTCGGTCCGAGTTATGTTGATGATTCTCCCCAGGATATACCTAAAATACATGGGTTACCAAGAACTGATGCAGGAGTAAATCACACCTATGTTGATCTTGGAAGGTCCATGCTGCCAAGGTGTCATGAACGCCGCCCTCCTCTACATGCATCTAATGATGGCCGATGGCCTGACTTGACAAACAGGTCATCATCAATGAAAAAATCCCTCCTTGGCCGACCAGCTTTCAGTGAAAACTTTCAGAGTTCTCTGCTAAAGCCTCCTGTACAGAGAGTCAGCATTGGACTAGCTCAGCCATTGAGGAGAGATACTCAACAGGAACAAGTACAGAGAGGTAAGTACATGTAGAAATATCCTCAACTGTAAGCTTGGATTCATCAACAAACATAGAAGTAAGGGCTGCTTTTAAAAACTATTTATATCTTCTAAATGTGTTGACACACACTTTAAGCTTGCTCAGTCCTCTCTTTTAGATGTGACCTTTGTCGAGAGTTACAAAATGTACTTATGCAAGTATCAACCAAACTGTTGGTAGTTGCATTTTGCAAGTCCTAAGACTTCATAATTGTTATAGGTAGCTAATTCAAAGACAAATATGACAGTAAATGTCTTTGTTGTTAATTTATTGGTTTGAGTATTAAAACCATGTAATGCAACATAAGCAGTTTTGAAGACACCCAAAATTAATTGTTTAAAATCAATGCTGATTTAGGGTGCTGATTGATTATAAGGTTATATCATGTTTGATATAATGTCTTAATGTTACAATGTGTTAATAGTTTTATGCTGCAATGAGTAATATCCCATCTCTTACCATTGTGGCATGTTAAAAATGAGGGACAGGCAAACCAGACAGAAAGAATGAGCCAATGAAATCTTGGTACAATCCTCAGCAAAGTCACATGTCTTGACCACGCTATATAATTTAGTCACCTGTTACAAACAGCCAAAGGGTGCTCAGGTTCTGATCTAACCTGGGTCACCAGTCATGTTGCATTGCCAATCAAGAGTGTAGGGACCTTTGTTCCAAGGTCCACAAGAGGTTAATGTTCTAGTGGAGATGTCTTCATATTCTGGGCACTGTTCAGCAGCACAAGCTACTACAAGATGGATGAACTATGACTCTCCTCCAATGGACATGGAACCAGATTCTCCATATCATGGGGCCACCACTCACAAGGAACAACCTTACACTTACAGACATCAGGTACTGCAGTTCATTTCAGTGGAGAAATCAGTATAGGTATTTAGATATGTGGCCTTAAACTGAAATCATTATGTTAATAACCTATTCCTAGTAGAGCAGATAAAGCATGCCTGTAGTTATAATGTTAGACCTGGCAGGTTGTGGATCTTTGTTTATTTCGGCACAAATCCCTGCTTTGCAAGGCAGGCTATTTCTTAATGGCTCCAGTGGTATGCTGGTAATATCATGCAACTGACCCAAGATTGCTCTTTCCATATTGCACCCTTGTGGGTCTTGAACCAAGGACCATTGTATAAAAGTCTTATGTAAGTTTTATTTGACTGAAACCGTACTGTTATTCCAGAAGCATCAACAGTCATCCAGAATGTTCCAAGCAGACAAAGAGCAAGGTATTAGATTCCATAACAAGAAATAACACTTTACACTGAAATGCCTTCATCATCTTTCATGCAAGTCGGATTGACCAAACCCACAGTTAAATCATGTGTATGTATGGTTGTGTAAAACACACCATTGTAACCTTATCCAAACTACCCTTGTGGCTTGATGTTTAATGCCAGACTCAGCAATATTCCAGGCACTAATTGAATCTAGACTAGACAATCTAATGATCAAGAGTGTGAGCAACAATCCACTCTGTCAGCTGCAAGGATGTTCTGTCAAACAAATCACCAAGCCTGACTACCAAATTCCTTTGGTAACCTCTTACAAGCAGCATAGTTTGCCTACAGAAATCTTTTGGGACCTATTCTAAATCAGTGTCCCTATGAGAAAACCATGTGGAGATTCTGGGATGGGAATTCCTCAGCAACATATAGATGTCACAAGAGCCAACTATTAATTATATTTAAGTTAAATGTGTTATCTCTGTGAAGTGTTCTTCATGCTGCCGACCACTGGTTCAACACACACTAAATTATTTACAGGCCGTTGTGATAGCTGGAATATAGTTTACACCTAAAACAACATTCATGCCCTCCACCATCGCTGTTTATCTTCTTAACTTAAAGGGTACAGCTTGTCTGAAATTTTTTCTTGTAATGTTAAATAACATATTACATGTTACAAGCTGTGAAAAAAAGACTGACAAGAATTATGTGTATTTCAGGTGAAGATGTCAACTGTCTCTTTGAAGACTTTCCAAACAAGAGAAAAAAGCTAACCTACAAACCCCTGCCTGGTCGAAGTCGGGGACAAACTGTGCTGGCATTCAGATGATGTGTTGTAGGAACGGAATGATTATTGAAAGTTTGGAATTGTTCCTAAATAGTTTTGGCCTTGCAAATTACATCTTATGAATACAAAAGATGCAAGTGACTAATGGTCTTGGTGTATATCCAACATTCAAAACCATATTGGCATAATGTTCTTGTGTTTATATCATTTATGAGTGGCAGTTTTGTGGTCAATCAGCTGGTGCAGACTGAACATGGGACTTTACCATGTGGTCAGTTAGATGTTTCAGGTTTGACTTGATAGTCTTTGTTGCATTCTTGCATACTGTGAGAAATAAAGTGATTCTCTACAATCTAAAGCAGACCAGAAGTGAATGATTCTTCAATGTATTATCAGTGCTCAGCACTTGTCCACTTTGCCTATGCTTGATGGGCTCAATATGTCCCAAAGATAGACTTGAGCTGATGTTCATAAAAACACACAACATCCCTTTCAATTGGGATATCAGAACACCACCATGTGTAAGATCTGACAAAACACTATGGTATGTTGACAATGTATGACATGTTTGTCTCTGTTCTTATACCTTGATGGCATGGACCTTTTCTCATAAAAAATATTTGAGCTGGTTTTTGCCAACTGTTGTGTAAATTAGTGTTCCGTTGTTGAAGCGAGTGAGTGAGTTTAGTTTTACGCCGCACTCAGCAATATTCCAGCTATATGGTGGCGGTCTGTAAATAATCGAGTCTGCACCAGACAATCCAGTGATCAACAGCATGAGCATCGACCTGCGCAAATGGGAACCGATGGCATGTGTCAACCAAGCCAGTGAGCCTGACAACCCGGTCCATTAGTCGCCTCTTATGACAAGCATGGGTTACTGAAGGTTCATTCTACCCCGGACCTTCAAGAGTTTCCATCGTTAAAGAATTGCTTGTTAATGGACATACAGTCGAGCACCATTGTGTCGAACTCTGATAACGGTTGTCTCGATATAACATCTCGGTCCCAGCAAAATCCTTCATAATTTATCATTACTCAAGCTCTTTTAACTCAATACGGATGTCTCGATATCTCAGATTTCTTGATATAATTTCATGGTTCCAACAAGCAAAACAAGTGTTTGCCACTGATATGGCAATGTCCCCACCGCTAAAGAATGGAATATTTATAACATATTTACTACTTTTTAATTTTTGGTCACATACAAGATGCCTGAAATGACTGGTGTCTGCATAATCACCCAATGTAGGCTGAAGACATTGGGTGCAATATTTGTATGAGATATCACGTTTGAAAAGTGGTTCAAGTTTCATGGTGACCTTGAAGATAAGGTCAAGGTTTATCCCCATGAGTAATCCCCAGATGTAGGCTCTCAACAAATTTGAAGACATTGGGTACAACAGTGCATGAGATATCACATTAACAACAGTTTGAAAGGTGTTGTGGTGACCTTGAAGACAAGGTCAAGGTCACCCAAATCGCCTGGTGTCTGGGTAATCCCCCAGTGTCGGCTGTAACCAAATTTGAAGACATTGGGTACAACAGTTCATGAGATATCACTTTAACAAGAGTTTGAAAAGTGGTCAAAGTGTCGTTGTGACCTTGAAGATAATGTCAAGGTCACCCAAATTGACTGGTGTCTGGGTAATCCCTCAATGTAGGCTGTCAGCAAATTTGAAGACATTGGGTACAACAGTTCATGAGATATCACGTTAACAAGAATCGGGACGTACGGACGCCACTTAATACATAGTCATGGGCAGATTTTCATGGGCAAGTATCCCTCTGAACTTAGGTTGTTTCCACACGTTTACACGCCATGCGGCATGAATCAAAGGGAGTGTAAACTAACTAGGGCTAATTGAGTTGAAGGTGTCACTTGTTTGTTATTTAATTAGGATTAATTATGAAGGAATTAATTAGGAAGTACTCACTGTTACGACTATACACTGCTGATAACGGATTATAGTTTCGAATCAAAACATACAGAGAAGCGTTTTGTTTTCTTTCATAGTGGTATGTGATAATATGCCCTGGCCGGATGTCTCAAAGTTTGGATAACTCGATATTTTTTTCTTGGTCCCATGGATATCGAGACAACGGTGCTCGACTGTATATCATTTCAAAAGAACAATAAACATCAGCAACAGAGGTGATATTTTTAAAGACATTTATTTACAGTCTGTACATGTAAGGACACATCAGTCCATCCCCACCAAGTGGTAATGAGTCACTGACATTCATTCAACCAGTTGGTTTGTGAATGTCCAACAATGTCTTTTGTTTGGGAAACGTCACGAGTGATCAACTGCACCATATGATAGTGTCCTCACAAGAAGAACTTCCTCCTGCTCGTGTCCATTTCATGGCGCTGAAAAAATAAAGTGATAAAAGGTACAAGACATTACTTTGTGGGATATGCACCATCTAAACTGTTACAATACAGACATTATTCATGCCCTTAGAATGTAATATATATTAAAAGTACATTTGAATTGACCTTGCCATGTTTAGAGCTGTTCATATTTTTGTGCTCGTTTAAATATTTTTACTGTGAACTTAGTCGTCAACAAAAAAGAGCTTAATATTTTGTATTCAAAAGAACAAGTACCTTATGTATCCATTCGTATTCCCCATATTTGGAGTCAAATGTTCCTTTCTGAAGTGATCTCAGCTTTAGAGTGAATCTTGGACCTAATTCACGAAGTCCAACTTTCTTTGAATTTCTGAATTCATATCTGAAAGTATAAGAACATCATTATAGCATGCATGGAAAAAAGTCTCAAAGCCACTTTTCTACACATATTTAAACTGTGATACGGTGATCATCCTAAAAAGTAAATACACTGGACCAGACAAACTGCTGACTATTTGTGTGAACACATACCTTGTACACCACTGTCAGTGCCCTATAACAAAATCAAACAAGTCAAAGTTGTTTGCTTTTTTTGATGATAAATCATAATGATTTAAGATTACATTTCTGTTCAACATTTGTTTGTAGTTAACACCACACTCAGCATGCACAGCAACATTTCAGCTGTCTGTAAATAATCAGGACCAACTATCTATCCAACTGGGATATGGTGACATGCATAAAAGACCACTCAATCCCATTATTAGGGACAAACATGGGTTGCCGAAGACCAATTCAATCTGGATCTTCATGGGGTTTAGGTTCAATGAAGAAAGAACAGTCTGATATGAATAGCAAAATGCAATTTCATTCTAAGAATAATACTTTGTAATAGTGGGGATGGGAACAAAAACATATGGTATGGTGGACTAACACATGAACAAAAAGTGGTAACAATCAAAGTTCTCCATCTCTCTAGGACTTCCTCCCTCATCCAATGTGATATAGCTGAAACACTATTCAAAGAAAGACTGCCAAATTGTCAGTAGTTCGATCCTCTGACCACATCATACCTAAGGAGAGTACTTGTTACCCTGCCTTGCATTTGCATTTAGAGGACAAAACAAGGACCGGTTGGCTTAAAGTCAGTGTGTATAATTTGCATGAGTCATGTATCCTTGTTAAAACTGTGGCACTGTAACCTAGTGGGTGGCTCTATAAAACTGGCATAAACTCTGACTGATGTAAGCAGCCATAGAAGCATGCGCATTAACATCTATAGATTGGCAACAATCTTGAAAGGGTTGTTAACGCCCATTTCATCCCACCTTACCAGTTCAAACTAACTTAAAGATCACATATACTCTATATACTCACATATACAAATACATAAATCACTAACTGGCATCGTTATAAATGAAACCCAGTCATTAAAACTACTCACTTCGGTCTTTAATTAACTTAAATCGACCTTTTTGACAACAGTGCACAATTTTCACCCGCGAACAAAATTTCAACCAATCAGAGCGGGGCGTCTCTGTGACGTCATATGAGGAATAGATATGAGGGCCGATGCAGAATTCATCTACATTTCAGGGGGTAAATTATCTTGTTTACAGGTTTGTATAAACCAGAAATCGTGACAACTGTTGTGGAAAATGAAAGCTATATGTTCTCACAATCTACTGTCATTTAATTTTGTCTCCTGCTTTGCCTAGTTTCCGAGTTACAACTTGTTTTCATAGACGATTCTGTCAAAATCGCTTGGTGTCGTTACGCCTTATTTGTATACCGGTAATGACTGATCCAAATTGATTCCATTTCTGTGGGGTTTTTACCTCGATATTTAATCATGTCATGTAAAAATCTGTTTGTATTCTCAAAACAGTGTCGGCCCATAAGTTTTCACATGCAATACAGCAATTAATACTCCCTTGTTGTAACCCGTGTTAGGTGGTATAAACCTACACATGTTATTTGTTATCATTCACTTGATGGTCAATTAATGAATTTATAACAGGTATAATTAGTGGTAACACACCTAGATTACCCGACAAAGGTTCCCGTTTGGCATTTCTTGTGTCTGGAGTAAATATTCAACATTATAAACATCGATCAAAGGATTAACCGATAACACGCTGATTGATTAATTACTTTAATTTTACACAGCGGATTTGTCAAAAGGTAGTGTTTATGTATGTAGATTTACTAATCTATACTGAATACACTCTGTCGTGTCGGTGTCTGCGTAAAAACAACGTCCTTCTTTCAAAGGATTAACCGGCAATACATTGAGCTAACTAAATTACTGTTTTTAAAGAAAGGCGGACATTATGCAATTAGTTGCCAGGTGTGCTATCTTGGGTGACCAATGAGACTATACACCAATGTGAAATACCTGAAAAGATTTATCACTTTTTCGTATATTAAACTGTTAAAAGACACATCACTTGGAACAGCTGCAGATGAATGGCATATCACTCGTTTTTGTGGATATTGATGGATACATTCCTCGAACAAGGTAATAGCATGACATTGTTCCTATAACTTTAATCTGTTTTAATTTTAATATTTGCAGTTTGTTTTTATTCATTTGTGCATTCAACAGAATCATTGTTTTCGCTGTGAAGAGTAATGAGACAGACAACATACACAGGGTGTGTGTGCGAATTATGAATAAAACTATAAAATGTCTGATATTACAATTCTGTTATGAATTCACTATAAGTAATGCTTTTTATTTAGTTTCAAAATGCATACAAGTTTAACTAATTAGGATTATAAGACCAAATATAAACGATACATTGATACATCTACATACTGGTGAGTGGATGTATTGTGAATGTAGCAAGTAATTTATCGATCAGTATTGTGATTCTACCTGCAGAAGTCCTTGACTTGATGTAAGGTGTTCACAACCAGGTGTGTCTGTCCTCGTTGAACTTTTATGTAAAATCATACGACTGCCGATCCCTCGTCCTTAACTTGACAGGGGAGGTTACTGTGAAGAAGGCAGTCTAATCATGAATGTTCAGGTTTAACTGGACTGTAATGAGGCTTGCTCGTTCACTGATATATAGTTGTCACTTTGTGACGTAAAGTCTTGAACTGTGAATTGAGATCGACCTCTGTGTGAGGTCGTTGTCCCATAACAGTCCAATCAGAACAAGGCATTTTGATTCACATATAATACCCGCTTGCTGTGATGGCTACGCAGTGTATGGAAAAACCCACCTTGAATAAATTCTTGTCGTCGTTGATATTGGCAAGCATAAACGTCGGTTCTTTCACCAATAGCTTCCGGGAGTTATCCGAAAGTGACCACGTGTTTCGAGGTTAATGGTAATCGCGCAGAAAGCCTCCGGGCGCGAAATATCTCGCTCTGTAATTTTTATGCTGGGTAAGGTTATTTTCCTGGATTTGTCGTGAGAAAGTAATTTCAGTTTTGATAATTCCGACTTCCTTATATATAAGGGTATAAACAACTTGCAAGTTGTGAGCTACAGAGCTGCATACATGAATATCGTCATAATTGTAGAATTAACGTTGGGCTTGTTGTACATATTTCTTCTCAGAAACTTTGACGATTAAGAGTTGCTACTCGCTGTAACAAGGCTGCTGTTCAATTTCGATATTGGGAGACAAATGTCTGCAGGTCGCGCGTAATGGTCACGCATGTAGATAATCGTATCGTCGTCCGGGATTGTATATTGCAATTTTATACGGAATGGTTGATTTCTGTGAGAATCTATGAGATGCCTAGACACATCACTTGGAACAGCTGCAGATGAATGGCATATCACTCGTTTTTTGTGGATATTGATGATACATTCCTCGAACAAGGTAATAGCATGACATTGTTCCTATAACTTTAATCTGTTTTAATTTTAATATTTGCAGTTTGTTTTATTCATTTGTCGTAGCATTCAACAGAATCATTGTTTTACCGCAGATATGAAGGCTGTGAAGAGTAATGAGACAGACAACATACACTAGGGTGTGTGTGTGTACGGCTCGGGGAATTATGATTCACATATAAAACTATAAAATGTCTAGATATTACAATTCTGTTATGAATTCACTATAAGTATCAGCAGATCGTCTGCTTTTTATTTAGTTTCAAAATGCATACAAGTTTAAACTAATTAGGATTATAAGACCAAATATAAAGACGTGCATTGACTAGTATCTACATACTGGTGAGTGGATGTTAACCGTGAATGTAGCAAGTAATTTATCGATCAGGACCTCGCTTCCGTGGAGGAAATCGTTATGTGATAAGTTGTGTCATGCAAAATCCCTTTGGTTATGATTCAAATACATATTTAACTACTGAGTAGAAAGTAGTTTTGATTTTCTAACTTGATGAAAACAAACCATAATCTCATTAATTCTAACAGACTTTAGCCCGTCACTTTTACGATTTTTAAAAATGGCGCCAAGACTGTCGCCAACATCGCCAGTCTGAGGATAAATGCTATTTAGGTTTGTTTTCACACGAGTTACAAAATCAAAACTACTTTCTACTGGTAGTAAAATATGTATTTGATTGATGGCCAATAGGATTTTGCATGACATAGCTTATAACATAACAATTGCTCTCGTGGCAGCGAGGTGGGTGTCAATATAATACTACTTACAATATTATTGTTACTTCGACCACAACCTCACTTCTGAGGAAGAAATCGTTATGTTACAAGTTGTGTCATGGAAAATCTTTATGGTCATCAATCATATACATATTTTACTACAACTAGTAAAGTAGTTTTGATTCTTTAACTTCCGTGAAGCGATCTGAACACAAGTAAGATATCGTTTCAGGCTTCCACAACTAAAGCCAAGACTCACAAACATAACCCATTTAGCAACTAACTGCGGGGTCCTGTGGAAACCTGTGCATGGTGACACCATCGCCCGACCCCTAGGAGCAATTGACGACAAAGCAACGATTCGGCATGTCGTCATTGATGTCGAGAAATCATCAAAATGATGAGCGTGCTACACACTTTCTATACAACTAACTGAAAATCGTTCCTCATATGACGTCACTGCAGTGCTCTGGCGACAGAGTTACGTAACCTGTCTGTGGTTTCGTTGGCGGCGAGAGTGAAGCAGGCGACTTTTTGGCAACTTTTAATCACTCGGTATTAATTAACCACAAGTTTTTTAAGAATGAATTTGGTGTTCGCATAAGTCTAACCACAAATCTTTCATATGTAATAGTTAAAAGAGTAAAAAAAAACCCAAAGTTTATTTGTTCTTTAAGGAGTCTATCAATCCGATATGCTTACTGTATAAAGTTAGTGGAAGCAATAAATACATGCATGTAAGCTTCATTAGGGCTTCAGTACATTTAGCCATGTTATTCCAACCAACCCTGCAACTCTCGGTGAACTCAGCCACAGCATACATTCAGTATGTAAAATGACTTTACAGGAATATAAGCATCTAGGCACAAGCATGTAGGTCATCGCAAAACGTGCAGTATCTTGAATATCATCACCTGTGATGCCTGAAGAATATGAAGTCTCTCTGGTTGTGGAAGGTGGCCACACGCCGCCCTTGGAACTCTGGGTCATGTGGGAAGAGGGAGGCCAGGAGACGACCCACAGTGTGGCCTAGTCGTGTGTTGAAGTTGTTTAGCATCACCTCTGGGTGGTGGTCAGTCACACGGCCTAATTTCTACAAATACCATCAGTAAAAATCAGTAGACTATAAAGTGTAAATGAAGCAATTTAAAACGAAGTTCATAAAGTTGTACAAATTTCTTTGAAAAAATATTCAATAATTCACATGTGGATCACAAAATTCTTATGTTCTAGTAGCCAGTGAAAGTTTTCTCTGAACAACTTTCTCATTATTCTGGACATATTAACAACACCAGGAGAAGTCTAACAAATATTGGTAAATATCATCTCAATGAATGCTAATACTGACGACATGAAACAGGGTAGATACCTTTACTTGCTAATATTTAAACCATGTTGCCATGGAAACAAGTATTAACATCTCTGAATTTGTTTTCTGATTCCTTTGACAAAGAAATTGAAAATTGGGACAAATGGGTCTGAAGACCCTTTTGTGAAAACATAAGGCTTCTGATGGCTAAACATGTTGGTTTCAGGAACATTGATGTCTCCTCAATAAGACTGACCTTGATATCTGTTGTCAGTCTAACACTAGACATCTTGAAATGTGCTGTGGGTCCATCCGGTAGATGAGAGATTACTAAACCATCCCACACAGTCAAGGTAAAATATCAAATACCACTATCAACACGCAATAACATTACTGTAACACCAGGTTACTCTCAGCATGAATTATGGTGGGGGAGTTATTGTCCAAGCAGGTATGAAAATGCGATGCTCGGTTACATATCTATTTTTCTGTGACATTACCATTGATCAAACAGATCAAATTGTTTCAAATGGTAGATAGGTCATCAAGGCAAAAATTACAAATAACCCTTATATTGTTGCTGATGTAACCCTTGAGCACTGGTTTCCACTGAAGTTGTAGTGTTACATTTTTAACAGATATGACATTGCTATAATGGACATCAATCCAAGCACTATTTTCAATTTGTGAAACGAAGCCTTCCATTCCTCACCAAAGAGATAACTGATTATTCTATTGTTCAATTTTCACTTAAAAATGAAAAGCTCATTCATAATCATGATAATGATTTATCCTGACAAAGAGTTCTTTTCAACACGTCCACTGATCAAGGATACTGGGTTCCTTTCTGTCTTCATTAATGACCAGAATATCTGTGAAATCTTTGGCAAGTGCTTGAGGGATTACTTTCTTCAGATCTAGTGCCCGTCGTTTGTAAATCTCAATGTTCGGAATAACTTTCTTCAACTCTTTGCACAGCTTTCTTGTTCTCTGGAAACAAATATTGTACATATTTAGAATACAACACAAAAAATGCAATATTCAGTTTGATCTGTGTCAGTGTAAACAAGCAATTAGGCCTTCTGGTTTTAACCATTTGTTAACTGACACAGGCCATGAACATGTTGAAAGCAATATATGATGACATCTTTGAGAAATTTCACATACAATTCTACAACCAGCATGTTCTGAATCAGTGATTGAAAATATTTCTTAACTTACAGTGGTGGGTCTGTCAGTTGTTGTGAGGAGAATCTTGGGTGTTGTCTTTCTATTGAAGTATGAGGACATCTCATCTTGAGACTCATCTTTCATAACCTACAACAGGATTACAATGATCAAGGAATCTTTTATGTTCTCTTGACCTTTCAGAACTCAGCTGTCTCTTGATAGTTAAGTACATGTACAAAAGCAAAATACCAGACCATATTCTTTCAAAACTAAATAATTATAAGGTTGGTAATATAATACAAGATCAAAGGATGGTGTTGCATACAGTCATAAACACAAATAACCAATTACATTGTTTAACTATAAATACTTAACAATGAAATAATCAGATCATGATCATATTAAAATTAATAATATTAATAAATATTTGAAGCAATTGACGGCTTAAACATGATACGGTAAAATGATGTTTAACTGGAAACTTGGCATTGAGAATATAAAAACCAACCTCTTCATCCTGGGTGTTGACCATTGTCTCGTCAAATACACGCATACTCTCGATTGTCTTTGGCACCTTTTTGGGAGGAGCCTAGACAAATATTAAGGAGACTAAATGAATACATCATCCACAATATCTAACCTGGTTCAAACGAGAATTTAGCAATTTTATGACTACATTTGTGAAAAATGTTAATAAACATGATATGGAACTCTTATTCCAATAAAATTTAAACACCTTTTGAGGATGACAACAAAGCATGGGAATGACACCGTGTAGAAAAAGAAGTAAAATGTAAAAAAAAAATGGTTGCAGTCTCATTTGGAAATTGGATCCTGTTATGTTATAAATCACAATAAAATAGTTAATTGATGTTGTCATATTGTTAAACTCACCTCTTCACCCATTGCTTCAGCCTCTTGTTTCTCTCGCTTCTTCTCTTTCAGCTTTTCCTGGAAATCATGAAATGCTGATTTACAAATTTGAGTGGTATATTTATTAACAGTTCATTCGATTCCCCTTATCGAGATTAAATGTCTCGGAAAAAATCCCATCGATTCTGCTACTTTTTTTTAAACTCGAAACCTGATTCAACTATAGCTACTTCACGTTCATACGCCTCGTTTTAGGCATATGTTATTAATAATTTGAAAATAAAATATACATTTATTAATTTGGTTCCATTAATTTAATTGGCTGGCACGATCTGAAATCTTACCAATGTCTCGGCATGACATGGATTTTTGGGTTGGGATCTGTTACGCCAATCAATTCTTGAGAGAAAAAAAACCCATTCCAGTCTCCAGGGCCCACTTGCACAGAACGATCTTAGAGCTACAATTATTGTAAATCCTTAAGATCGCGATCTTAGGCTTCGGGTACAATCGCCATCCACTTGCACAAAGCAATTGTAGGCTAAGATAATTGTAAGTTAGAATCAGAGCTAAGATCATTGTAGTCTGTGACAAAATGGCGTTCAAGTTAGTGTCTGTTTCACGCAGATAATCAGCTTTACTTTTGGAGACTGCTTTTATATTGTATAAAACTGTGTGGTTCAACTCAACACTTCAACAACACGGAGAATGCACAACCGATTTAACGTCAGAAACATCGTTATTTGCCGTAGTGAACCACATACCTATCGAGACAATATCATAAAGTACTGTTCCCGCCTGGTTCAGTTTTTTCATGCAAGATGGGATTGATTTCCCTTGAAATACCAGATCTATCGTTTTATGCAAATGAAACGAAAATTCTTACTACATACTTTACGTTTCTCAGCTTTCATTTTACGATATAACTCAGATCGTATCTGTTTGTTCTTAACACGTGAGATGTTGGGTCGAGGAATCGTCTGTATTTCTTGTTTTTCATCTTTACTTTCTTCAGCTCGAGTCACGTTTTTCCTTCTCGACGCCATCTTTGAAAACCAAACATATAAAGTGTGGACTAGGATGGTTTCCGGTGTTCCTTAAACGAAAAACGAGTTACGATGTGTGATGAAAGTTAGACTAACCATATTATCCTCGAAATTTAATTTACGCATATTAAAAACACCACAAAAAACAAACTCAACATATCCATAGTTTGACAACAAGGCCATTCGTCATCCATTCGTGTCATTTCGGGGCAAATCGAGCGGAACTGGGCGAGTGTTGACTAAAACAGTTTGAAACACCCGTAAAATATAACTTTTCACCACCAGTGGCCCGGCAGGTTTCTGTATTACAATGATAATCGAGAATAATGAATCGATGTGCAAGTCTCACATCCTTTCTTAAAAAAATCCCCCAAATCTGGATAAAACGCGAGAAACTGTAAACTCGCCGACATGAGGTTGATGTATATGTCGTATTACACAAAGCATTATCCACTCCGACGACGGGGTAGCCTAGTGGTTAAAGCGTTCGCTCGTCACGTCGAAGGTCCAGGTTCGATTCCCCACATGGGCACACCGTGTGAAGCCCATTTATGGTGTGCCCCACCGTGAAATCGCTGGAATGTTGCTAAAAGCGGCGTAATATCATACTCACTCCACTGCGACAACATGGTTGAAACACGATTATAATTAACACCTTCGAGGTCAATCGTTAATGTTATGAAATTTTCTGAAAATGAAATACATGCTTATTCATTTGCAAAGCGGTAAACATTCCGTAGAAGACAGATATAATACATGTGATTTCCTCCAAGTCTGTATTCTTTTCCGTGAGAATGTTCCCGATAGTCATTCTCATGATGTTCATAAACAACACTTTAACAATGGGTTAATGATAGACGTCTTCAGATAATGGGACGTTCGTACACAATGCTAGTGCATGCATCCATCGTTGTAATACACATTCTGACAAACATGCTCTTATATTGATAAAAATACACCTATATAAACTCTAACACCGAAACGAACGCTCGCTTCAGCGACTCTAAGCCCTGATAGTCTTTCAAATATGGTTTCAAAGCTTAATGTTTTCAGTAATGATCAAAGCATTTGACACATAATTTCTGCATTTGTCGTCTGCTGTGAGAATATTGCTATCCAGGTCATAACGTATATAACTGTAAACACTTCGATGAGTTGCTTTGTCACATTTTCTCAAGGACGTATATATACTGATGGAAAGAAGTATGGGAACACATAGCATTGCAGAACAATATTCCAGTTATATCACGGGTGTCTGCTTGATGTGGGAGGAAAGCCCGAAGTGATGCAAGGTTTGGACGTTTTCCACTTCGGCGAAGCCAACGAGAACGCGTATACATGCTGCTGTCAGTCTCAGACACGTAAAACGTAATCGGGGTAAATCTGGATTTCGAACTCACGATCATTGGCTTCTGGCACATCCATGGGAGGCAACTATGAACACATTTTTTCTCGCTTTAAACGAGCTGGGGACCCATGCAAGTATATCGAGAAAGAGTGTGATAATGTTGTTTAGAACCAATACAAGTGGTGTAATATCTTGCGTGTTCCTGATAATACGTGTGTGCGTGCGTGCGTGCGTGCGTGTGTGTGTGTGTGTGTGAAGAAAGGTATGAAGTTCAGAGCAGTGGACAGTGGTACATATGCAAAGTAATTCACCAAATAATGACACAACACGAACTAATTTCCCTCCTATGCTTTTCAACGTTATCTTCAGGTAGAGAATATACTGTTTGCAGGAATATTTGTCCTGAGCACTATGTGTATAAAGAATCTGATTAATATGTATAATTTGAATGTTAGTAATGTTCAATGTATTTATTATCTTCTTTCAAATATCCTATTGACAAAAACTCCAACCCCGAAAAGAAAATAGGCTATTTTTGGTTACCATTACCTCCTTACATTTTCTTGTGTTGGATACGAATAATAATAATAATTCTGTTCTCGTAATTTGGGGCCATATTTTATTTTCAAATTGGGGAGGGTTCGAAGCTGAGAACATGCCCCCAATTCAAAGCCCCCAACACGCACATTTGCTCGGAGTATCGAGGGTTGAGCCGAAAGTCAGGACGGTATTTCTAAAATATAACGGAAGAGGAATTATGTTCCGTGACACGCCTTATCGTTGGAAGGCTTATGGAATGTTTTGCTTTGTCCCAGTCGTCTAAGGTATTGTATGAATGCCCGGGTCGCGTCAGCTGCAAACACAGTATTTGTACTACGACGTCGATTAACCGATGGCCATCGCAAAAACCCTGTTCTCCAAATATAAAACACAATACAAATTGAAAGAATTATTTCACTTGAAATATGAAGGAAGTTCGTCTAATGTTTAACATTGTTGAATTTGCAAACACTTCCCGTCAGCGCTTCACTTTACAAACATGCAACACGGACCAAATTCACGAAATATATGTCCGTGACATTTTAAAAGAAATGTCCGTAATGCTACAAATGTTTAAAACGTCGTCAGTTTAATGTCGGCGCGTGTGTGGATATTGGTATTATTTTTACAACCCAACAGGTGAGGTGAGGTGAAATTGGGTTTTACGTCGTGCTTGAGAATATTTCGCTCATATAACGACGTGCATGCATGTGTATGTATGTGCGGCTGCTTCTACTAGCCCAGACTTAAGCTGGTTTTATAGTGCTAGCTCACTAAGATACCATGCCGCTGTGAAGCATGAATACCCCACTCAGACACATTATATTGACTCCGAGCCGACCAGTCCTTGTTGTACCCATTAATGCCGAGCGCCAGGCAGGGACCAACAAGTACCATATATTTTAACGTCTTTTTGGTATGACGCGGTCGGGGATCGAACCCGCGACCTTCCGCTCTCCGGGAGGACGATCTAACCTCTACACCACGGAGGCGGTCCTGGACCCAACAGAGTGAATGATTGAGTTTAGTAGTTTTACGCCGCTTTTAGCAATATTCCAGCAATATTACGACAGGAGACACCAGAAATGGGCCACTGTGTCCATGTGGGGAATCAAACCCGGGCCTTTGGCGTGATGAGGAAACGCTTTAACCACTAGGCTACCCCACTGGCCCTGACCCAATAGAAGTAAAAGACCACCCGATTCTTTAATCCGAAAGTTAATCTGTCATGCTATGTCAGATTAATTGTAGCAATATGAAAGAATCGAGAATTCGTTTGCTTCTTTCAAGTAGTTTACACATATATTATGTTACAAACATACCATGCAACCATTTGTCATTTACAGATTACAAATGATTCCTGTCAACACGAACAACACTTTTAAACATTGGATATTGCAGATGTGTATGTTTGAAACACGTGTAATCATAGCTGTGCACGTGACTTTAAAACTTATAATGTGTATAAATAGAAATCAACTACACCCAAACAAAAACTTAAGTGCGTCAGACACCTATCATTATGTACTTGTGGAAAGAAAGGAAAAATATTTTTCAAATGGTAATCTTTGCAAGTGTATGAAACGTATTGGCTTTCAATAGGAACACAGACATCGCCCGAAGCTTACAATTGCTGAGGCGGAACTAACTACAACTGCCTGAAACATGTCACGCCTGAACTGGCCGATATCAATTTGTGTGTCTTGGTCCAAGCACGAGAGAGTGTGAGGCTGAAGAGGCTCACGAGGGGTGGGGTAAGGTACCAACACGTGTGATAAACTGCATTTTATCTTGACGTCGTAAGAAACTTATATTTGTTGCCAGGCTTGGACTTGACTTACCTTCTTACAAAATTTAAATGAACTCTAAATATATAACTGACTATTTTCACATAGGATCCAGCTTGCAATATGTGAGTATCGTTTTATGCCGCTGTTTTAGCAATATTCACGGACAACGCCAAACCAAATGGGCTTAACATACCGGGCAAACGTTTTAATTTAAGATACTAGGTTAGACCAACGCCAAATATCAGCCATAATAAACTCAAGTTTCTCCACCCGTGAAGAACCGGGTTAGAACTGACCTTCAGCAACCGCGTGTCGTAAGAGGCGACTACCGGGATCGGGTGGTCAGACTCACTGACTTGGTTGACACATGTCATCGTATCCCAATTGCGTAGATCGATGCTCATGCTGTTTATCACTGGATTGTCTGGTCCAGACTCGATTATCTACAGCCCGCCTTCATATAGCTGGAATATATTGCTGAGTGCGAGGTAAAACTAAACCCACTCACCCAGTTTCTCCAGTAAAATATGCAGGCCTAGGATTATCAACGCATTGTCCGTTAACTCAATGGAATAACAATGTAAACATATTTATACGGATATTTGATTATGTTAAGCATATCATTGGTGGAGATAAGTCACAATAACTGGCGATTGTGATGATTTAAACTCTTTCAAAGTTCGAGCTGCTCCAGCGGAGGAGTCAATGCGGTCATTAACACTATGACGTACGTATACGAATTGCACATAGTGTTTCATGAGGCTGTCCGTCAACCACTTTTGGTACTTTGGTACTCGTTATTCGGGTTGGTAAGGGACTGGGTAGGGGGGAGAGGGTAGTCTGTCTCACAGTCCCTGAACCACATTATTTTCCCTACTGCCTAGCCCTCTCTGCAGTGTTAAAGCCCTAAATGAAGCAAGTCTAGATTTCCTCAGGTTCTGAATCTCTGGTCTTTCTAGGGCTCCTTTTTCTAGGGCTAATGTTAAAGCCCTAAATGAAGCAAGTCTAGATTTCCTCAGGTTCTGAATCTCTGGTCTTTCTAGGGCTCCTTTTCAATATAAATGGGCTTGTTTGTTACTATCAAAATTATATAAGCATTAGTTTTGGGAAGGGGGTGTTATTTGTGATGAAATTGTACCTTGCTTTTAATTCTGTTCGTTTGGTTTTAAACATATTTCATTGACATAAATGGACAATGGTTTTGGGCAGAAGTTGTAATTCTGCACAAAGATTGAACGCTTTAACCCCAACGCCCCAGCAATCACGCCAATCCGGACATTCAGTGAATGATCGTGAGTTGGGGTAAGAGCTGGTTTCAGTAGAAAGTTATGGTATATCATTGGTGTGTTTGTATGTGAGAGGAAATCCCGATGTAACGCGGGCGGAGTCTTTTCCAATTTGATGAAACCTAAGAACTCGGGTAGGCCTATATTGTAGCGAAGGCTCTCATCATCAAAAACAGCTATGTTAGAGAGGAAAGAGTTCCTTACGTACCCCCCGCCTATTTTATAAGGTACTTTTCATTACTTGTGTACCTCTGTATTTTTTTTAAAAAAATAGGTGAGGGGCACGCAAGGAACTCTTACCATTAGAGAGATCTGCACTGAGCCTTTGACGATCGTCAGGATATACGGCATTGGAAAACAACTGATCAGAGATAGCCTAGGGGTTCGAAGCGGATCCTGGCACCAAGGAAGATACGCACTGTACGGCCCACTAAACCACAGGTCCACCCATGGCGCTCCCCTCATTCAACTTCTTTATCAACACAATCAGAATTCAGCACAATTATAGACCTGTCGTATTGGGGCGTCCATGTAGACCCCCACAACCCATGTTTTTGTGACCTGAGATGTGATTATGTGTGACCCGTAAGGGTTGACAAGATGTCGTCTGCTGTGACCTCCAGACGACAGGTGACAAGTGCCCTCTCGGACTCCTCATTACCTGGACAATTCGCCGGCTTCGCTCCAAACAAAACACAGGTATGTCGACTTCATACGTTTGTCAAACTAACAACCCTTCTAATATTACCGACATTACACTAGGGAGAAGTTACAATTCCTGCAACGTCCAAGACAGGTGTGATATGGCCCAGCGTTATAGGTTTTTCGTGGGGTGGGTGGAAGGGAGTTGGGTGGGGTGGTTATGACTTTTGGAAAATTTGATTTGATTTATTTGATCAATGATATTAGCAGTAACCATGAAAGAGGACATCATGTAGAATGTTTTTGAGCTTAGTGACTTCAAAGATTAATGATATCTCTGGTAAATGTACCTATCTAAGATAGTATCTTATGAACAGAAACATCATTAATGATGACATTTTGAATATAGCTTGGACTATATGTAACACATGTATATATCTAGTATAACCCTATGTGTTGTTGCCAAATCCACTCATTCATTCAGTGTTTATTATCAAATATTTTGTGTAAGTTAGTAATGCTAATTTTCATTTGACGTAGAGAAGTTTCCATAAACACAGAAATACCAAATTATTATGGAAGTGAAATATGAGCTGGAGCATTATGAACAGACAATGCATTCTACAAAGTGGGAAGTGGAATCCTGATTGGCCTGGGTGGCTCAGTGGGTAAGGTAACTGATGCCTCACTATGAGAGTTTGGGTTCAAATCCTAGACTCCACCCAAAAAAGATCAGAATTTGAACTGTAATAAGAAAGTGTAATCCTAAGTATAAAATATGACATAAAAGCAGTAAGTTCTATAAGTTTTGATAACTTATTGATTTTCCCATGTCATGCATTCTTTTGTCCCCACATACCCTTACAGCACTATCACGTGAATAGTCTCAGTTTAGTTGTCATTCCTACCTGCCTGATTAGTCATTCCCTTTGAACATTCAGTGATTCACTGTGTTGGAGTAATTGCTCTGGTTACAGGTATTCATGAGTCAATATAATCCGACAGCAATGCCTCTTGCAACAATGGCTACAGTAGACCTCAACAAGAAATCACATTCATAATTACCTTCTCAAGAATTACTTATTACTATTATATGATAGAATCTATGAGTGGTTTGTCTGACTCTAGCAAGTGTTTTGTTTCTCAGGTAATTGTGATTTTATTATTTATGGGTATTATTACCAAAGAGGTAATAAAACTAAGCTTGTATTCCGTGTTTCTTTATGGGTGCAAATATCTTTAAACTTGTTCTTTAATATTTTAAGACCAATTTTATTTCTTGTTTTATGGATTTTTGTCAGGAGGCAGGAGGGAAAATGTTGTTTTTTTTAAATCACCAGTCAAAGCAAAAACCCAAAAGAGATTCCATGTTAACTCTTTTGGTTTGTTCATATCAACTAAAAATAAGTGAGTTAGTGACTTCAAGAGTATTTTGCTTATATCACATTAACATAAGGATTTTATTTTTTGAGCAGGGAAATTAATTTATATGTTTGTTCTTATTCTTGAAAAAATAAAAGAAGAAATAAAATTGGTCTGGCCTTACTGAAGATTGAATACTTTCTTTACCAGTCAAGAGAAGAACACATGTCTTTTTCAAATGGCTGAAGTGAATCTGTCATTGCTGGGTACTGCAACACACACACACACACACACACACACACACACACACACACACACACACACACACACACACACACACACACACAGACACACACACACACAGGAACACACACACACTTGTGAGAGACATATTCAGAGAGAGAGAGAGACACTATGACATACAGAGTCAAATGACACACACAGACACACACACACAGACACACACACACTTTTTGATGGGTTAGGGTTTAGGTCAAGGGTTAGGTTTAGGCTTAGGGTTAGGTTTAAGATTAAGCTTTCTATAAAAAATCCCATCTATTCTTAGGCATAGAATGATAAGTAAAGGGGGTTACCAGTGGAAATCTTTCCAAGTATTTAGAGGCTAATTCTTTTTCTCCAGAGAAATAATGAGATTTTTGGCTTTTCCCCTTGTTCCAAACAGTCATTGACATATTACAATGTAACAATTTCAGTTCTTCTTTTTTGTAAAATCTGCACATTTAATAGTGGTCTGTAGTTGACCTCAGGTCATCCTTGATCCTTTCCTATATTACCCAAAGTCTGAAAGACAAGAAATAATATGAGATGAAACAGTTGTAGCATGAATCAATTTATGGATTCAAATGCATGGAGTGTAAAGCAACAATCAGAATCTAACAGAAATAGTACATATTTCTTCTCTTTATATTTGCTCAACTTCGTCTTTGAATAAGGTTTCATCAAATGCATTTTATTTTTTGAGACTCAAGCCTATAAAGAGAACACAGTTTTATCTGTTGAGAAAAATAGTTTATACACAAACATGTCACTGTAAGATTTGTGAAACATCCTGCCCTTTAAATAGGTTTACATTCAAACTGAACTGCCCCAAACAACTTGATGCAAAACAGAATATAAACATATGAGGCACACAGTGTTCTATTTCAACCTTCACAAACTTGTGGGTTAGCAAAACATATGTGAACCAAAATAAAAGCTATGCCTCAAGAGGTAACATCGGTCAGGTAAACAACATTAGGATCATTTACACTTTAAGGTTAATATATTTTTCATGAAAACATCACATCACATTAAATGAAAGACAGTTTCTATTCAGAGGCCCTTGATCTGTGTTCAAGCCAAGTTGGTAATATGTTCGGTTTTTATACAAACACCATGGTTAAGATGACTGAAAGAGGTTTCAAATTGCCCTTAACATATATAAAATTGGCACGAGGATTAGCTATTGAACAGGAATCCATGAGACTGAGCATTACATTTTACTATGCAGGATGCCCTTTAATAAGGACAGTTTGACTGCTATTCGAAAGTATCTGTTCCTTTGACAAGTTAATATGATAGTATTACCATAATAAAAGATAATGTTACCTTAACCATCTTTCAAAAGACATGCCAGGTATGTGAAACAGATCAAAAAGGACACATTGGATATATTAAGAATAATAACATGAGATTTCACCAGATGGTCCTGTCTCAACAAAAGGATGAGACATTTTATGGGCTGTGGCCTTATTTGCTACATGAGGCTGCAAAATAAGCTATTATTCAAATTTGGGCTAAACCCTTTAATTTTCTCTCCATTTGTTCTGTACAATAACCACGGGCAATTATGATATTTAGCTATTTCCTATACCTTCGAGGTGCACTGTAGTGTGAAAGTTCTTCTGACAACTGGTTGTTCATATTTCCAAAGGATTATGTTATTAAGGTTTGTGAAGAAACCCATATGCTTGAGGATGATGCTTTTCATATTGTGTTCCTGAGTGGTTGACTTAAGTGGTTCTTAAGTTGTTTTTCTGTCACTCAAGTCACTATGTAGAAAATTCAAGTTTGAAGGTCGAAATCAGAAACCCCTTGTGCATACAAAGTAGACACAATTTTGTAAAACAACTTCTTTATTTTTGTGTAATAGCAATGTTTCTTGATCCTTGTGCCATTGTCAATATATCAGTGTACTCTACTACATTTCAGTTTGTTGATCAACGGCACACTGAACAATATTCTAGCTCTATGACTGTGGCAGTCTGTACAGAACAGAAAAGAATTCTAGTCTCGTAAATCATACAGAATGTTATAGAGAGCATACAATCGTTTATGATACAAAAACATACAAGTGGAAGTATTGGTTTAGAAATGACTAAGAACAGTTTTAGCAAACAGTGATAGTTTCAATAAGATTGGGGTATAATCTGATTTTAATTAGTGAGACAAATTTGTCCATATGTGGATTTTTGCAAAAATAAGAGGGAAGTATCTTCTTACGTTCATCATTAAGATGTGTACATGATAAAATAGCATTCAATTCGTCACAAATAACATTATTTTTACGAATTGTACATGTTCTGTTATATAGATTAATATTAACCCATTGTCTGTAAATATTCGAGTCTGGACCAAACAGTCCTGAAACTGACATCATTAACATCGATCTACATATTTAAGACAGTCCAGTGATCAATAGCCTAAACATTGATCTACGCAATTGGGATTCGATGCCATGTGTCAACCAAATCAGCGAGCCTGACCATCCTAACCAGTAAATCTCATCATACGACAAGCATGGGTTGCAGAAGACCAATTCTAACCCAGACCTGTACGAGTTATGTACATTATTAAAAAAAAAGTGTTATCAATAGTGATAAACCTCTATATTGCTTGTAATATATAATATCAAAAATTCAAGAATGAATAATGAAAATGTATGTTTGCAAGAAGTATTTTATACAAGGTGCAAAATTTGGTTTATGAATACATTTTGGTATTCCTAGTAATATTTTGGCAATGATACGCTAAAAGTCATGAAGGGACATTAAAGTACAGTCGAGCACCGTTCTCTCGATATTCATGGGACCAAGAAAAAATATCGAGTTATCCGAACTTTGAGACATCCGACCAGGGCATATCATCATATATCACAATGAAAGAAAACAAAACAAAAGTTAGGTTTTATGTATATGCATTTGTATATACATTTTTGATCACAGGGATCGCAATCACACACGATACAACTCAAGTTACAGTGACCATCTTGAATGATACAAAAGTTGGATTTATTCAACAATCGAAACAACTCAACAATCACATGCTAGTCACTTGATTACACAAAACCCTCATTGGATTCTCAGTATGTTTTGATTCGAAACTATAATCCGTTATCAGTAGTGTTTAGACGTAACTGTGGGTACTTCCTAATTAATTCCTTCTTAATTAATCCTAATTAAATAACAAACAAGCATCACCTTCAACTCAGTTAGCCCTAATTAGTTCACACTACCGCATCCCTTTGATTCACGCCGCATCGTGTGTAAACGTGTGGAAACAACCTCAGTTCAGAGGGATACTTGGTCATGAAAGGTAGGTGAATATCAAGTTTTTTTGCAAATATCGAGTTAAAAGGGTAATATTGCTTGTTGGGACCATGAAATTATATCAAGATATCCGAAATATCGAGACAT